AAAGAAGAAAGCAGAGAAAAAATTTATTGACATAGCAGCTGCTAAAGAAGTCCTCACTGACCCAGGTAATGATGCAGTGACTTCATTTTTTAATTACTTTTTTACAGTAAGTTAAAAACACAGCAAGTGTAAGTCATAACAGGCATCACAACTTCCCTCTCTTTCTCCCCTCATCCTTCTTGAGAAAGTAGTGCACTAATACTTGCATCCAGTATGTCACATGAAGTCAGATGTAAACCTGGAATTATTTGTTTCAGCGTTTCAGTGATTTTTATTAAAAGTCAAAAATTATTATTTCAAAGATCACTTTTTGGGATATCATCTTGTAGAGATTTCTAGGATTGAGTAACTCTGGATATGCTTACTTCAAGGATATGGATATCTCCTGCCTCGAGTGCTATTGCAAATTGCATTTAGATTATAACAGCACCTGAAGTATTCCAGGGAAGCCCTGCTATTACTGTGCCATAATTCCATCTTGGCTTTCTTTCCTCCAGAAATGAGGCGGAAGTTTGATGCAGGAGAGGACCCACTGGATGCAGAGAGTCAGCAGGGTGGCAGCAACCCTTTCCACAGGAACTGGAACACGTGGCAAGGATTCAACCCCTTTGGTTCTGGAGGAGGACCATTTACATTCAAATTTCACTTCAGTTAGAGCCAAGACTGTTTCTGGTGGCTGCTGCTGTTTTTTATTCAATTCGTTGAAAAATAAAAAGTCTCTCAGTTCAAGACCCAAAATCTTAATTTCTAATGTTGTCCTTAACCCAGAGTCTTACTGCACTAGAAGGAAGGTCTTTCTTTCTTTCTTTCTTTTGGTATTCAGTGGGTTTGCTTGACAAGCTCACACTGGTTGGGGGAGGGGGGAGTTGTACTGCCTTTGTATTTGTTGTGGATATACAGGACGTGTTTATTCCCATGGATGGAAAAAACAATAAGATGCTACTTAGGACAATGCTTAAATTTAGGACTCAAGTATATGCTTCAAGATAAAAATGCATGTAAATATTTTTCTGGATCAGGGCCTAATAAACATGGCAAGGGTAGATACAATAGTCTCCACATTAACAAACTGTTGGTCGTGCTCAGCAGAACGATCCATCTCAGTATTTTTAAGAGGAAACCCTGGTGAGCACCTGCTGTGTTGGTGTTGGCAGTGCCACAGGTAATGAGTCCCAGCAATCGCTCTGGAAAAAGAATGCTTGGGAGTAATTGTGTTGGAAAATGTCTGCTCGCTTTGTTCATAAACCTGAAATGGATCGGGGTGATTTCCTTGGTGGTAATTGTCAACTATGAAACTAAAGAAAACAAAACAAAACCCACACTTTTTTTTTTTGAATGTCATTTGGGGTGTTTATTTAGGTATGATTCTTGAGTAGTTTGCACTTTAACAAAATACCTGCTTGAGATTTGAGCAGAAAATGTGATGTGACATTTCCCCTGTGTAGCAGTTTGTTAGTTCTGTCAGAACTAAGATAGGTTGTGAGGTGAGTGTGCTGCAGACTGCAGGAATGTGGTGTTGATTCCAGCCTTATCCTGTGATACAACTTCGTTTCTGTTGGGTGGTGCAACAGGGAGTTAATGCTGTGTGAAATCGAAGTAATTTTGTGTTTCTTGTAACAGCCACGGTACTGCAGAAACAAATGTGTGCAAAAAGAGGGACTAACTTCCCACTAGCCAGAAGTCTGGTTTATTTTTTTCTATATGCACATGGTTGATGGAACTGTGAGAGTGTGAAGTACAGCGTTTCCAGGGCTTTGGGAGTGAGGAGTCCTCCGTTCTGTAACTGAATCTGTCATAACCGCTGATGAGTTTCATCAGCACCCACTTTCTCAGAACGCAAGAATTATGGTTCATCAGTGTTGATTGCATTTTAACTGGAAAACAATAATCAGTTGATAGGAATCTTCTCTCACTTCAGCTGACAGCATTTGAAAGCATAAGCAGCCACAGTAAAACAAATGAAATCAGCAAATAAGGCCTTCAGTCTGAAAGTGTTTTCTCTTACTATAGTCAGAGTTGCTGTTGGAGCCCTAAGTATTTCATGAACATAATTGCAAGGCCTTGTGCTCTGCAGACATTTATCTTCAAGCTGAGGAGCACGTGTGGTGATTTCTAACAGTTTTTGGTACAAAACAATCCCAGCAGCCTGTGAAATCCCAGTGTCGGATGTTTCCCAAGTTGAATGACTTCGTGGAAGTTCAGCTTGTGCCTTTGACCTGTTGGAAAGCTTTTTGCTTAAGCTCTGTACCAGATGCTCAGGACACTGTTCAGAGCACTCCAGGCTGGCGTGGCTCTCTGGGAACTCACAGCACAGTGAATAACCTGTTACCCTGTGGAATTGGCCACGGACAGGCAGGTGGCTCTTGTGTGTCCCCCCGTGGCTCTTGTCAGCCCCTGAGGCGGAGCTCAACCCAGCCATGCCTGTTGTGGGCAGGGTGGTTCCTGGTGGTTGCTCTGTGTGTGTGTGTGTGTGTGAGCCATCACTCTGTGCAAGCCCTTCCTGTATTGGCTCGTTCACTGCAGAAGGGGCTGCTTTTAAACAAGTATTGAATGAGCAGTGTAAGCAATATGTCACGTATTGTACATACAGGGGCGTGGGTGGGCTGCAGACGTCACAACAAAGACCACAGACAGCTGTGTTTGTGTGCTGGGGAAGCGGTGGGAATGAAATGTCTTCTTTCAAAGAACTGCCCTTGTTCCTTTTTTTTTTTTTCCCCTCCATCCATCTCCCATCTCTGTTTTAAAAGCCAGAGCTGAGAGAATTGTTTCCTGGCGTTAACTTTTTTTCTTCTTGGGAAGGAATAAGATGGTCCCTCATGAGTAAATTCTTCATACTGATTTTGGAGCAGCCTGGGTTTGTTTCTCTGGGACAGCAGGACAGTTCTGGTGTACGCTGGCAGCATTCAGGAACCAAAAAGGACCATGTGCATTTTGAGAATGAGTGGGAAAGGGAAAATTACATTTTAAGAAAAGAAAAAGGGTTAAATGTAGTCAGTAGAAGAAGGAAGATGATTAGAACCTGAATGCTGTTCATAGATTTGTTCCGTGAAAGGCAGGTTCTTGGAAACAAAAGCAAAAAATGACAGTGGAGAACAAAGCTTTACTAGTATTGAGCAGCTGCTGTTTACAAGAAGTGTTACCACCCCAGTGCTATTCCTAAGGGCTTTGAGGTACTTCTGGAAATGCAGAAAGATGAAGTTGGTTAAAAAGAAACCATTTACATTGCGAGGGTCTCCAGATAACGGTGATGCATTTCCTGATGTGACCTTGGAAAATGAAGCGCTGGTAACACGCTGAGTGTTAATGGTGCAGGCGACGTGCAAGGAAGCTGAACTCGCCTTTTTATTTATTAGTGGGTGTCTGTAGTGCAATAATGTTCAATAACTGAACATTGAAATAAATGTCTTGGTAGTTTGTCAACCCTGAGATGTGCATGAAGCATCGTTACCATAATTGGCCTGTATGTAGATGCAAACTTTCTCTGTTGAATTCTTTCCGTTTTAATAAACTAGTTTCCAACTTGTTTTAAAATGAAGGTGGGGGGAGCATATTATACTTGGTACATGCTTAATACTGAGGTACTGATGATCAGTGTTAAAACAGATTCAAAGTGAACTACAAAGTGAATTGCTCAAACTTGTGACATATGCAGAAAATGTATCAGCTTAAACTTTTTAAAAAAAAAACACAAAACGAAAAAGCTTGTTATCATTTCAGTTTTCAGACCAATGTTTGGAACAAGAATTATTCTTCTGTTTAGGGCTGTGATTTATAGGAGCTTTGCAGGAAACTAGCCAGGATAGCATAGCAGGTTAGTTGTATTTAAAAGTGCCTTACTGTAAGGTATTGTTTGTTTGCTCTGTAATACACACTTTTATCTATAAAATCATAAAATAAATGGCAGAATAATTTTTTTTTCCCCTCAGCAAATCTCGTAAGTAGCAGTTTTATGGTATAAGAAGGATAAGTAAAGCTAGCCAGAGATTTATCAAATGTTTCAAATTATAAAATGTCTTTATATGAAATCATGAATCTAAAAAGCAAGAACTGTTTTTTTCTAGAACTGTGGGAATTATTTTATGGTATTTTTCACAATAAAGATATTTATGATGACAAGAAAGCACTGCTGTGTGTTTGCCCTTCTTTGCTCACCCTGCTCTCCAGGCTTGGAGTTAGGCTGCCCGAGTGCCTGCAGGCAGGGGAGAGGACGGGGAGGAGTCACATCCTGTGTTAACAGAAACTCGAATGTTTAGAAGTCAACTACTGCAAGTGTAGAAACCCTGTTGAATGCCAGTTTCACAGTGAGAACAACCAGCCTTTGGAATAATCTCCCCAAGGATGTGGCTGGACATTAGGCTTTTCCTGACAGAGTGCTGGGCCATCCTGTCTGGACCGTGCTATACCAAGGAAGGCTGGACCAGATGATCCTGGAGGTCCCTTCCAACCTGGTATCCCATGGTTCTGTGATGTCTCCGTGTGAAGGCAAGTACTTGATTCAGGGAAAAGGGTAAAAGGAACCTTCCTGAGAAATACGCTCAACGCTAAAGCTCTGGCTCATCAGCAGCGCTGCACTAATCTCTGGTTCATTCATTTTCTGCTAAACTTACAGGCTGATACCAAGAAGATTAAGACCTGGAAAAGACACTGTAATAGCAATACAGATATAAATTGTAAAACCCCTTCATCTGAACAGTTCAAATACTGCTTTGCTTATTTACTAGTTCAAGCCATGTGGCAACACTCCAGTAATCCAGGATGCATTTTCTTTCCCCCCTCCCAGGGCAGAGCACGCAGCTTGGAAACAACAAATAAGCTCGCTCTGCCTGTCTTTAAATTGTCACCTTGCAGCAGGTTCCTAATTGCTGTTGCTTCCCTGCAAAAACACTGTTAGTAGATCCAAAGCAAAAAGAATTGCAGCAAGTCCTTAAATGCCTTCAGTCTACAGAAAAAGTTTTTAATAGTTATTGTACAATACAAAAATGGAGAACAGAAAATAATGATTTTTTTTCCCCTCCAGTGGCACCTTTTAATATTTTGTACAACATAAACAATCCATTGGTTTGGTATTAAAAATACATGTTAATGACTCAAAGTGCTGCTTTAAGGAGATCTTTAACAAGTAGTGAATATACTGGTGGGACCCTTCTTGTTCTATAAACCAATGTATATCTCAAAAAAAGAGCTTTCTTTGAAAGTAGTGTTATGCAGAAAAAAATACTGTAAAAATTTTTTTACAAATATAAAAAAAATGCAGGAAATTGCATCGAAACCTTTTACATCTTCAAAATACCTCCAGCAAATTGCATTTCTAAAAATTATATTCTAATCACTTAAGTAACCTCACGGAAATAGTATTTAAAGAGCTATTTCCTTTTTTAAAGCCTGTAGAAGTGATCCAATTTAAAAAAGAACAGGATGCAACAGAAAAACTGAACACAAAATCAGTGCATAAACCATACACTTTTTATATTGCATAACAGAAACTTCCCACACAGATACTCGTAAGAGAAGTAAGGTTTCTTAAAGAACCTTTAACTTCTGGCTTAAAACAAGCTTTCCAATATATGCTCCAAGCACAAGAGACCAAGGCAGAGGGATGTGAAATGCTGCTGCAAAGTAAGGCATTAGGATGGAAGTTTAAGCTTCAAAAAAGGTAAGAAAAAAAGAATAATGCAGCAAGCAGTTGAATAATGGGGTTTTTTTCCTCTAATATGGAGTATCAGTTATTTCCTCCTTATGCATGGAATTTATAGTAGTGGTGCATATGCATCTGCTAAGTCAGTTGTAAGTTCCATCTATGTGGTATAAAAATACCAACCTAAAGTTTACGTTCAAATATGTCTTGACTTGCTGCCTGATACCCTGAAGTAATTATGTTAGAGAACAAGCATAACATCTCAAGTACTGCACTGAAATGGGACAGTTAAAGGGAACCGACAGGAGGGTTTACTGACTCCTGCTAGTGGGTCACACAGGAAATGCTCCCTTGGGTGCTTCGTACAAGGAAAATCCCACAACAGATACTTAAAAAAAAAATTTATGTGACATGTTAAAACTGTTCAAAATGCATAAAGGTAAAACAACAAAAAATATATAAAAAGCTGTAAAAAAAAAAAAATCTCCATGTCTCATATTCTTAGTAATAGGAATTGAAAAATACCAGCAAGGCATAATTTTAAGTACTGGTTCTTCCATTGTAAACAACCAACACCTGAGGACAATGACAGTACATACAAAATAGGCTTCATTTCTCTTACTGTTTATTCAGTTATTTGCTGGTATGGAAATACTATTGCAACTCACTGTAAATTCACCCACTTAGTGCAAATTACCTTGTTTTTCGTAATTTCAAGTATTTAGACTAAAAGGCTGCATTAAGTTGTTCTTATAACAATTTGTGGTCTCATCGAGTCCAATTTTGAAACCAGCACAGCATAAACAGCAGAGTATGTATTTAAGGCACTAGATTTCAGTTTAAGTCATAAATTCCTCCTTTTCAAATATGCGTATTGCAAGAACTCTTCCCTGCAATTTTTGTGGGATCAAAATGTCAGTAGCCCACTAAAGCAACGGTCTTGTGAGTACAGACTTTTAGAAAATTACAGGAGACACCACTGATAGTCAAAAATACTCACATATTTTATTATTTTATTTTCAGTCTTAAACAGGATGATGATAATCAAAACCAAGTAGAAACAGCTTTCAGGTACTGAACCTCTGATGCAACATGTGCTGGTTGGAAAACCACCTTAACCAAGCCCATAATGGAATTTTATGACACACTATTTTAAGTGACCAAAAGGAGCCTAAGAATCAAAAATTAGTTTTTAAAATCTGTAAGAGTGCAGCAATTCTGCACAATAAATGAAAAGTGTCATTCCTTGTTTTTAGCTTCCAAGTTGACTTATCTTTGTGTGGTCTGAATTACTGAAGTTATTTTTTATGCCTTATCTTTGCTCCACTGGGACTCTTTCTTGTGACCGTTTCTCCAGGGACAAAACTACAGATATAGAACCAAAATTCTTGATCTTTGAATACATAAACTGGACGCATCTAATATGCACAAAACAGTTTTCATGTACATATTTAATGTGTGTGTCCTCCCACAGACTGACAATGTATCTTTGAGAAGTTGAACACCTCTTTCTTCGTATTCTAAAATCCCCTAGGCAAAATATACTTTAAAGAAGAAAACCAACCTCCACACTGGGTAAAAAAACCCCAAGTACCTGAGGATTTCTCGGTTTTGTATTGCATTTAAAATGTTTTAAATAACACTATAAGTTATAAAATATTTGACTTAACATTAAAGAATGTTGCAAATAGTGCCAATGTAACATTTGTAACTCCCATTCAGTCTTTTTCCAGAAGACTACTGAGTTGTCACCATTGTTGTTCACGGGCTGTGCTAAAGTTCATCGTGCTTAAGAACTGTAACCAAAAAGAAAAAGAAATTATAAAAACGAGTCAGATAAAGACAGTTCTGTAAAATGTGAAGAAAGCCCTTTACTTTCCACCTGCTGCTAGTCAGTCGTGCAACATGAACTTCCTTTTCAGAGCCTTGCTAAAAGCAGACCATAAGCTTTCACAAAGAATAAAAACCACTACGAATTCTTTACAAGGAAAAGTGAATTTGTTCCTTGACTCAAGACTTTTAAATATATATCTGCTAAGTTTTTTCTTCAACCTCGAGGGCTGAGATCATCTTTTTTATTTTGTTTTGTTTCACATTACTCCAAGACGTCTTACTAGAAGTTCTGTAAGTGCGTTTGTTGGGGGTTTTGTGGGGGGCTTTCTGTGGTTTTGTTGCTGTTGTTTGGATTTTTTTATTTAACAAACTCAGTTTAAAATGCATTAGTAAAAAAATAAGCCAAACTCTATTTGTAGACTAAACCACAATTCAGTCTGGTGCAAAAAGGCCCTGGATACATGAGCCTGGAGACAACTTAGTAGAGACTGAGTTAACCTAAAGCTCATGGCTGTTAGGCAGTAGGTATCTAAGTGACATCTAAGCCGATGTGCTTTATTTAATATTTGTGCCTCAAATGATGTGTTACGGTTGTGTTTGAGGTCCAAGAACAGGACACCACGAAACCTTCTCTTAGATTCTGGCACGAAACAAAGGATTTTATTCTCTCAGTGTAAAAGTCCTATGTAAAGAAGCATCACACATTAAGCATCAAAACCCACACAGTTTCTCTAAGAACAGGGAAAATTACACAAATAAAGGATTTGTGCCTACTGACCCCAATCTTAATTTCAACTATATTAATATTTAATTTTTAAAAGCTAACAGATGAATATGCATGTAAGTTACCTTTTTGAAATAATGATGTTGGATTTTTCTTCTCCTTTTCAATTTGCTGTATTAACTTCCGTATCTCAGAGTCGTACTCAATCCATTCAGGAACTATCCGGGCAGCCGCCTCTAATTTTGGTTCTTTGGTCTGGGGATTGTTGCACTGGAAGTTTAAACCATATCAGATGTAAACAAAGCAAATGTGAAAATAACACCTCCTCAGAGAACTTAGCTCAAATCATTTTGTCAGCATTTGCAATGCCATTGAAACATGCAAAGTCAGTTACGTGGACATTATTATTAAAAAAAATTACACAAAAATTGTAAATAAATCCTGTTCAAATAACTCAAATAACTCAAAGTATTTAATTGCAAATACTTTTCTTTCTGCCCATGCTCCTGACTATATGTATAGCACAGAGATGGCCAGCACAAGACTACTAAGATTTAGACAAAGTTCCATGGGGAGATACAAGATACACATTGGCACACTGAGGTTGAATCTGATAGGGGTTTTTCATTACATTTGTGATGCTTCCTCTAGTGTTGTCTAGAAAAATGCATTGACTACTTCCATAAAATAGTATAAATGGAAATCTCAATATCAAGTGATACATGATAATGGGGACTGAAAGAAGGTGGGATGGGGTTTAATAATGAGAGAGGAAGATTTTCTCTCTCTGTTTCTGTTCCCAAAGAAAGACACTTTCTTCTTTCTAGACATGGAGCATTACACTTTTTAAGCTTTGCTTTATCTCCTGTTTATAGTGATGAAATAGACAAAGAAACCATACTAATATTAAGTCCTATAATCATCGGATTCTGGAGGAACCTTCCAGGCAGGGAGTGCAACAGCAGCACACAATGCCCAGAGAGTTAACAGTACTTCATCACAGCTCTAGAAACCTGGCCGAGTATGGAAAAATTATAAGCAAAATACATGTATGGGCATGAAAAGCCTCAATCTTGTCAGCAACACTTAATTTTTTGGTACAGTCTTCAGTTTTAATGTAAGAAATTTGGTACAGAGGAAGCAGGAGAGGAAAAGGACTGAGTCTTCCAGTGCCTTCCATCAAGGCTGCCTTCATGACATGACATGTATTTATCTCAAAAGCCACAGAAATCACAGCAAAGTTGTTAATCTATAAAACTAACTCAAGACTCACCAAGTCTATTGTTTTAGCCTTTTTCTTGGACTCATCATCACACCAGGTTTCACACCAAAGCCACTCCTGAGGGAGAGACTTAATGGCTACTTGATGAATCATATTGTTGGGAAGATCCTGTACAAATTTTATAAAATCATAAATTAGCACTGAATGTAATGTAACTGGTTATCAAGCTGGTTATTAAAAGTAGAATATCTTTGCTCATTACTCTTACATTTTCTTCTTCTTACATTTCCTTCTTAGTTCTTTTTCACCTACTTCTTTTTCAAGTAGATTCAAAACTTAGCCAAGCTCATTTTGATGCCAATTCCACCTCTCATTTACCAAGCAATTTTTTCTTGTACTTACATCTGTCTTTCCTTAGCTTGATGTAACAATACTCCTGCCTGATACTCGTGGTTCAGATACTGCATGTCGTGCTATAAATACTACTAAAGAGCAAAACCAAAACCATCTCTCCATTCCTTAAATTTGAAAAAAAATATCCCTCAAAAACCATATAATGGAGGATTACGCCACTACTCTAAATTTAGACGACTTCTAGGAAAATGGATTCCAGAAACATGAGCGTGAGAAGGAAAAGCTATTAAACTGCTATTCTGGTTACCTTCCTTACTTTACTTTTTTTTTTCTTTTTCTTTTTTTGTAACCTGTATTATATAGTCAGGTACTCTCATCAAGAGAACTCCAAATGAAGATCTTGCTGAATGCAGGGAGCAGCATTTACACATGAGAAAAACCCCAGGCAGTGACTATTCACTGGCCATAGTTAAAAATAATAGGTGTAATTGGTAGATCCATTTGTGAGCTCCCTCACATGTGCAACCCCTACATTATATTTTCAAATAAATGTCAGTACCGTGGTAAGTATTAGTCACATCTTATTTTGCCAATTCACGTTGCTAAATGTGACAGAATAAAACAGCACATATTGCTGCATTTTGAAAGACATATAATTTAATTCAAATACAGACAATCAAATATAAGTATATTGGGAGCCAAGACATCAAACAGTGAAATGCTTTTTTTTTTTAAAAACTTAAATTCTACAAATTTTTGTAAGATTAAAAAATGGTTTATCACCCTCTCAATTTCAAATGAAGAGAGATTGGTTTTCTGTTGTGCCTCTGACTTTCTAAATGAAATCACAATTCCTGAGTTACTACAATTCCTGAGTTGTGAATTTACAAATTGATACATGGAGCAGAAAGTCAGCTGCTAGGGCCAGGATTTGAAGTAAACAGAAGAAAAGAATGAATTACAAAACACAAACAACTAAACAAAATTACTGTATTGGAAGTCTATTTTTTATGGTGTGTAATTTTCCTCCCTAGGAGTTCTATACTCACTCTCCTTGGCATTTAAAATCCCAATTTTCCCTTCCATCTACTTCTCTTTTGTGGTTTATATTAGCATAATCTTAACTACCACCCATGAAGGCAGCAGTGCTGGTAGATCAGCAAAGAGCTGAGATTGCTGCTTCTTTGAGAAGAGCAGTGAGCACTCCAGTCAGATATTTAAAATAAAAATAGTAATAAAAACAATCACAATGTATCCTTATCAGTAGATGAAAGCTCCCCAGGACTCAAATGCATTGCACTGTGGGTTGTATTTCTAGGAATATTGCTGTATTTTGTGTAAGTAGTAGCAATTAAGACAAAGTAGTTCCTATCAATACAGTCAGAAACCAGATTAGTATGAAAATATTACTTTGAAATATTTTTCCAAGTAATTCCAATTCCTTTCTGCCAAGATTTAGCTACCTTAACATCTGCTCCTTAAGTGGTTTTTGATTTGATCCAAGGGTTATTATAACAAGAGATATAAGCCACCGTGTATCAATGCTGTAATTGAAAATATAAGAATCTTAAAATAGAAAGAGACACGTTTTTAACATTTAGAGAACATCAGATAAGTCTAATTACTATTTCTGAAAATCAGCATTACAGTGGAAGCCCTGTACCCAGCTTCTGAGTCTTTAAAGGTCTTTCTGAAAGACAACTTGCACATATGGGCAAGACTATGTTTGGAGAACATACAGCTGCATTCCATCAGGACTAAGTGTGACACAGGGGCACCAATTCATTCCACTGCCCAGAAAAAGAGAAGTGAAATGTGAGTGTTGCTGTTATGTCAGTCTTTTGCTCTTAACAATTACAGCTAAAGGCTGCTCCAACTCCCTGTGTCCAGTCTGCTGTGAGTTTTTAGTGTAGCTGTATTTCCACTTTTCTTTGTCCAGCATTATAAGAACTGCTGGTTTCAATTTTTACTTTTATTTCTGGGGGCGGGGGAGGGGGAGCAAATGGCAATAATGTCCTTACGTAAGAGAGAGAAATTTGCTTGCAGAGCAGGGGAATGGAAAGCAGGCACTGAAATGTGGGCTTTGGTACCGTGGGATCCCTTTGTTGCTATAGGCAGGTAAAACCTTTTGTGCTTTAATAGTTGCACAAGAAAAACAAATAAAGCAGGGACAACCTCACTTATGAAGCCTTCTGAAGTTCACCCAAAGTGAGACATAAATAAGAAGTACTATTGACTCAGGCAGAAATGTGATGAGTTGTTACTACCCATCTTCTACCAAGTTAAATAATTTCTACTACAGGAAAAAAGTAGTAAATTTAAGTACGTTATGTTTACGTGGGATCCACTTACAATGCTTGTGGCTGCACCCTGAGGTACCTCATTTGGGTTTAAAAACTGTTGGAATTATATAAATAAAGACTACAGCCACCCCAGGGTGACAATGTACAGTAACCACCAGAGTGCCTTTGCAGTTAGCTTACAAAAAAAATTAAATTTACCTTGATGAAAAAAAAAGAAGGAAAAGGAAAAAGCTCTTGCCAAATAAGAATATAATTACCATTATTAGAATAAAGGTGAACAGTTCTCTATGTTGGTTTTTTCCTCACTTTTTGTCATATTAAACAATTATTTAAAACAATAATCATTTAGTGTTCAGTTTTCTGAACTGTGCTCACATGCACACCTGAAAATGTGCTAAAAGAGCAGTAAATGGCAAATAGTTTTGGAATTATATAACATACATGTTGAGATTCACAACAATTCCATGCCATTTGAGAAAGATAAAGAAAATAAACCCCAAGTTACTTAAAGCCATATATACCTGATCTAGATTTGACAGACTGTTTGGATCTTGACTAAGAGCCTGGTACTGGCCCCGAAGCCTGTCTCCAGCTGCAATCTTTCTGAACGTCTTGAGATCCACAACATATAAGGCACTAAAAGTTTAAAAAAACCAAAAAAGAATTAAGATTTGTGGAGTTTCACCGTCTTTTTGATAATATTAATAAAAGTAACTAAAATATGTTTCCATCCTGAAAGAATATTTTTCTTAATTAAGTGGCTAAAGCTACAGTAGAAAAGTGAAATCAATATGTCATCAGAATTCATGCCTTACTCATCTCTTGTTGAGAATGACTGGAGGTCAACTGGTTTTGAAAACCTCAGTGATCAATATCAAGATCCAGATTTCAATCAAAAGCACACACTGCGCAAAAACACGTTATCCTACCTGATATGGTATTTCCTTTTCCCGAGATGTGATGCCCAGTATCCTGATTTCCAGAAACGGTACCCATCCATTTCCTTACGGCTGTCACAGAAAGGTGTGTATCCATAGGGAGCTCCATTTAGATCTAGATCTCTGAGTTCTTTCAGGTCACTTCTCACAATCTAAATAAGAATATATATTTGTTTCTACAATTTAATACTGTTTCTAAGGTATGCACACGAGGGTAGGTATTGCAGCAAGTTTCGCAAAGTTTTATTTTAATTAAAAAAACCAAACTGAGACACTACAACAGTGGAGTATAGATAAAATATTCCACTGGTAGATGTTTACCAAATTATTCTTCAAGTTAAAAAGACATTTTTATTATCTTATTAACAGTGGTCATCTGTGTAACACATTTAATAAGTAAATTCAATAAACCAGGCAAAATATTTTTAATTCACAGATCAGTGTTTCTCGTTGCCCAATACTAAAGTCCTTAATGAAGAAGCATAACTTTTAAAATTAAAAGCATGTCCCTTTTAGAGTATCCTTCCTACTTATTACATAACTTGGGTATTCCAAAATTATTTCATCATTTGAAAAATCTTTGCATCTAGTAATAAAGTACTTTTAAAAATAGGTTACAACGACATTTTACAAATGCCCTTTATTTACTGATCAATCCTTCTCCACCTAATTTATCAGTGGTAAAAAAAAGTTTTAGCTATTTGGGTGTAGAGAGAAATCCTTACAGCAGCGAGGACAGACAACCAGTGTTACCAGATGGTGTATCCAGATGAAACTGCAAAAAGTTGCAGCCTGCATTACTAGACCTAAATTCAATTTACTCTCAAGCTTTGGAAAAGAACCAAAATACATTAATATTTGTCCTGACGTTTTTAGCAACCTTGTGATAGACTTTTCAATGCCTCATCTGTTGGAGACAGCATTTTGTCTTTCAGTGTATTACACAATATTCATTCCTGAGTGAAAGACTGCATATAAATTTGAAATAGAGACAGGATTAATCTTGACAAATTTCAGCCATCCTGAAGTTGTTAAAATGGTCCAAACTAATCCCCTCAGACTCCTTGCACAGTGGAGAAGTCCCCTCAATCAGTCCAGAGACTGAATCACTCCTATACACTTCCAGTGAAAGGCACATTTAAGATCACACACACCTCTCCAGGCACCTTTCACTCTCCACAGGCAATTTAGGATAACTCAGTGCAGGGAGACTCTAAATGTCCACATGACTAAAGACAAGTGAAATTACTGCACTTCACATTCTGCACCACCACTGGTTCTGTTCATACAGCTGCAACAGCCTTACAAGACTGACGTACAAATAAAATGGCCAGAGGGGATGAAACTGCATAAATTCTGGCCCAAATGAGTTCCTCGTACATTTATATACCATTATTTTTTCTTACCTGGTCAGCATCGACAAATATTATTTTATCCACAGCCAAAGGGAAAAGAACATCCAAGAAAAGAATTTTGTAGCCCCAGATAATTCTCTGTTTTTCTGTCTGTTGATAAAGCCAGCGGGGCCACTTGTACTGTACTAACTCGTAGTTGAAACCATACTTTTTAGCCATGTGAGGAATAACATCCTAGAAGAAAAAAACCCAAAAAACTATTAGGTGCACATATATGGCACACAGTAAGGACTCAAAAGGAAAAAGTGAATGCTGCAAAACAGTTGTAGCTGTATTGGCCTTACTGGCTACACAGTTTATTACTTTGAAATGTTTCTTTAGTTTTAGCAGTATCCTCAGCTACACCAGTAGAAAAAGCATTTCATGCAAGCTTTTGGAGACTATCAGAAGAGAATAAATTATTATAATTTATCACTGAGCTTTGCATTCCACAAGAGAAGAACCTTATATAGAACACTTTAAAAAATATTAATATTTAAAACTATTTAATCCACTCAGAGATTATTTTCCACTCTGAAAATTTAATTTCAATTATATAATTACTCAATTGTAATTTAAAAAAAATTACTTAAAATTTTAAAGAAAAAAATAATAAAAGAAGACTTTTCTCCTACCTTAAATGTAGGGGAGAGGTAGTTTTTCAGAAACCAAAATTTAACTGGTGTTTTTGTATGACGTAGGACAGAAAGCATCATAATTCTGTGGAAATATAAGTCTATAATAAACAAACAAATACACACAGGTCATTAAATTTCAACTGCACTTAAGAAGTGTTAAAAATTTCTAAGTAAAATTTTCTTTTACCCAACTTAAGCAGAATTTTCTATCTATTTCTAATTAAAACCTTTAAAGAGCATGTGTTCAACACTGTTTTGAGATGGACTTATTTGATCCAGATTGGCTAAGCAACAGTAGAAGGAACAATTTCAAAAGTGGATCTATTAACAAGTTTTATTCTCAGAGAAAGCCTGACAAAATTAGAATAATGATTAATACTTTATATTAACTCATGTAATCATATGTGCATATAGTAACCCCATAGTTTGGACTAAATACAAATAGATACAATTCTAAATACAAGATTATGAAGTCACTTCTACTACACCTTTATACAGAGAGTTTGAACTTCATCTTTTATGTCTGTACTTCACACATGAAAGACAAGGAGAACATTCTTCTGCCTTCAAAGAATAATGGTACTTTTGAACATCTGTATGTTGAATCACTTTGTTCTTAAATAAAGAGTAATTTAGTCCTCATTGTATACAACCTTTCTATGTATTGATAATTTCTTTTATTTTGTTTAAAAAGTCAGTTTCCTTAAGCTGCTTAATGCTAGTATGAAAATTTAGTGTATTGCAAAGAAATTCTTGCTTCCCTTTTACCTTTCCTTACCTTAAAAAACGTTCATATAAATGCCCTGATGCAACAGAGAAAATGTTAAGAATGTCACTTTTCTTTTCACTTTCTTCTGTTGGAATTCCTTCTGAAAATCTAAGAATTATTGTAAATTATAGTTAGCCATGATATAAAGCAAACATTCAGCAGAAAAAACATACTAAATTATCATTAAGCTCATAAAGAATCAAAGTAAGAAAATACACAAAAGAAATACTCATCATATAGTAACCAAATACACTCCCACTGCACATGCCTATGATACCAAAATCTTTTGGGAGCAACACCTCATACCCAGTCACTCAGGACAAACAATGGCACAACTGCAGCCTCCAGTATTTTCAACAAAACAGAACCCATATTTGACAAGAACTCCACATTTATCAAAGTAAAAATAATCAGAAATACACGCAGACATATCATCTTGAGAACTGATAGATTTTAAATTCAAACCCAGTTATTTTCCATTCCTCATCCACATGCATTCTACATCAGAACAACCAATGTTCTGAAGTGAAGAATGCCTGCATAGCCCTCATAGGTGGTTGAGCTGAATATATTCCCTAAAATACAGACTGAACATAATACAAAGATGGTCACACAAGGCCAAATCACATATTTAACTCACTACCTTCGCAACAGCAAATGGCAAGCCTGAGGAGTAGTAACCTTTCCCAGAATACCCTCATAACATTCAGTGGTCTGTGGTGATAGGATTTCCTGAGGGGTTTTCATAATACTTGCTGAATTCTTCCTTAAATTAATCCAATTACTCTCCCTATAAGCTAACCTATATCTCTGAGGTACATTGTCCAGAGGTTTTCTATTTCTGCTCACAGCATTTTTTGCTTGTTTTGAATAACAAAGTCTACCAGGATTGGTTTTTCACCATGTATGCCTTCCAGCACACACAGCCAGGGCATAGTGGCTGCAGTCTCCCTCAAGCACTGCTTTACTGATCTCAGAACTGCAAAGGCTGCCTTCGCCAAATTGGTTAGTGCATGGCTTGATATTGTTGGAAATTCACCTCAGTAGTCTTTTGGGTTTTTTTGAGGTAATTCTTCACACACTTATGATTGCATGACTCACTCCTGTTAACTTTTCTTCTGGTTGCATCCCTTTTTAAAGTATCCTTTAGAAAGTAAAAAAGAAGTGTCCCTCATAATCTTTAAGAACAAATGGGACAAGTCTCAGATCTCCAACATATTCAAAAAATGAGTTCACATCACTCCACTAATACAAAGTTGAAATCCTAGAAGACTGCGATGCAAGTGTGAATGATCTTTTTGAGAAAGATTATTCACATTCTTTTCACTCAGCCATGGTAAGAGCACAGTTGTACCTGTGCAGGACTATAGCAAATGCAGAAGAAAGGCAGTGGAGCAGCGCTGACTGCCCTGTATGGCATCTCTAAAGATGACAACCTCCCAACTAGCACTGAACTTCCACAGGCTAAACAGACTTGCAGTTCACAGTCCCAAGCCATCAGTTTTCTTTCTTCTTGACTTTTTGTCTTGTTTCTTATCATAGTGACAGCAGGACCAAAAGACTCTCAAGCTCTTTATAATGCAACCATCATGTGAAAAAAAATAAAAGCAGGTTTTCATAAAAGGATCTTGAAAATATTGATTATGAAAAGATTTACAAAAAAGCAGAGATCTTCCAGATTGAACAAGCTGCTGGACTGACTTGTAAGGTCACGTGGGAAAAGCAGTCAATTGGGAAAGGGCTGCTCACTTATGAAAGGTCTTGGGCAATAGTATGCACGTGTCCCATGTCAGAGCACACGTGAATTCCTCTAATGAGTAACGTGCTGGTGATACTCTTTTCATTCTGGGATAACAAAGAGGAAGGATATTTGACAAGTTCCTAAACAGCAAGAGGCTGACAGAAATGGTAGGCTTCACATCATGCCCTTGAGCCACAACTTTGAATCAATGGGAAAAGAAATAAACTTTATTGAATGAGGGGCTTCAATTGCCCAGCTAAGCTCTGAGCCTGATGCACAATGATGAACCAACCAACCGTGGTAAAAGGCAAGACCTGAAAGATTGAGAGATCTCTGGCCTCATAACCTTCACAGAGGAAGCTAAGATTTTGATCACCGCACATACATCCTTTGATGCAGCCAATTAGAAGTGGGAAGCTTGAAGATGATGAAAAATTCCTTTATCTAACATCCTTCTGAAAAAGGACAAGAGGCCTTGTCAGAAGAGATGATAAAGCTGAAACAGAACCCAGTCCTGGATCTACCAAGAGATATGTGTTAGAGGATTAACTGGGGTCAACTTTTTACTAGATAAAGTAGAACTGCTATGCCTTCTATTTATTTTCATTAACAGTCTGTGTCTGAGAACTACTGCCAAAGCTACTGAAAATGGAAGAAAGCCTTTTCTGGGTCTTGCTCAAAACAGCAAATTAGAAATACTACAATGTTATTAGACCCAAATGTAAAGCTTGAGATGTTTATTGCAATTACTTACAGAACTCAGACTTTAAAGTAAAAGGTATTTTATTGACATATAAAAACACTTCTTGAGATTTCATAAATAGTGTTTAGTAGCAGACAAGCACCACTGGTCTGCTTTTTGATGCTCATTTTCACATATCTGAGTACCACATAATTGGCTGGGATTTTCACTTTGAGATTGATTCCTTACCCCAAGAAAATGAAAAGCCAGTGGGGAAAATGAACAGGAACTAGAAATACAAAGGAAGGATTAAAAAAGGCACTAAGGAGATGTACAAGACATTGTAGCTTTTCTTTCCCCTCCTTATATTTATTATTATATATCCCTTGGAGAGCCTTTTTACATATTTGTATCACTATCAAGTAAGAAACCCTTACTTGTTGTGAGTAATAATAAAGACGTGTTGGAACATTAAACTAGAAGCAAATTACGCATTACCTTGTAAGTGATTCCAGATTTCCATATTTTCCTGTTGTTCCATCTGTAAGGAGATCTTCATTTATTTTATCAGGCTTTTTCTGTACCTAGTCAGTAAAATAAATGTATTTGTGTAATTTGGAAAGTTGGCTGATACTAATTACTACTTCAACTGCGATATCTAAGTATGGTGCAGTAACTGGCTAGAGCTGGACCAACATCTGGACCAATTTCTATTTCAGTAAAATACTTACTGAACTGCATTGAACTGAACAGTAAAAATGTAATTTCATACTTTTAAACTACGTAGAGAACTTGCTGTAATAAAAATAAATAATTTAATATAAATTAATGGTGACTAATAATCAAACAGTTTGTTCAAGCCCTCTGTACTTTATGCAAACACCAACTACAAGTGTGGGGAATTCTATCTCATTTTTTACACTCATGAGTTCGTGATCCAGCCATTAGCTGGCAGAAGTGTAGCAGGTTGTTGCACCACACAGTGGAACTTACCTGAAGGGAAATTGTCATTCTCATAAGCCCTTCACAAGGAGAAAGTGACAAATTTGTCACTGAAACATAAGCTCTCCCACACAACTTAAGCAATTTTTGCTGTCTTATCCAGATGCGCACAAGGCTCCAAATCAATTTCATTAGCTACTTTAATTTCCTTGATTAAAATAAACCTAATTGCTTTTGAAAACCAAATAGCTTCTAAAACCCTCAGTGTCTGAACATACTCAGTTCTAATTATATTAATTTCACATGATCATACTGTCAAGCCAACGCTTACAGATTTCTGTTCACGCTGCATGACGAGTCTTTTGCTAATGGTCCTGAAGCCCCATCCTACACATCACTGAAGTGGTTCTGCATTTCAGCTGAATGACAGACCTTACGTATTTGAGCTATAAGCTTAATACATGCCACCTCTCACATCAAGTAATTTTCATATTTTGACCAAAATGGCACCCTTTTATCCTTTTTCTGAGGCAGGTTCATCATGTTCCAGAGTTTTACACGTTTTCTCTGGGTTCTGGAAACTTTCAGTTACAGGACTGGAGAAGAGACACATGCCTGCAGTTTTAAAAATTCCTCTTGTATTTACATTGTTCGCTCTCCTTCTCAACGTCTAAAATTAGGATACAATGTACCAAGGAAATCAACACAAAATGTTATTTACGAAATAGAGGAAAACATATAATACTATGAGGCTCTTTCTCCTGAATAGAACTCGTGCTTAAATAGCTCTTTTTGATACAGTTTTCAGAATGGAAGTAACGTAATCTCATTTACACAGATTTGATAGCTTAGGGTAAAATTCAACACTCCTAATTTTAACTTCCACTTTGGTATCTGGACTTTGTATAAAATCCCTCTCCAGTCACTGGAGAGAAATGAGTGCCTCAAAAGGTGGTCATCTTGCTGGTTTAAATATACATATGAGTTGGAATTAGTAGACCTTTGGACTCTCTCTCATTCTGCTACGCAGAGAGGGAATTTAAGTCATCTAGATTTGGACACCTTGAGCTAGATGAGATAAATCTTATCTATGTTTAACCGCTATTTAACAATCTCCCATGCAATTAGTATAACCTGATTGGATCAAATTAACTACATTAATTTGCACATCCTTCTCTTTAATTATACAAAATCTAAATTATATATTTCAGTATACACCTTTCAATTAAATATAGCCTAAGACATGTAAGCATAAGCCACATTTCATATAAGGAAACACTGCATACATACTTGAATTTTGATAATTTTGCTTCTGAAGTTGTTTAATACCACAGTAACATCTGTCAGGTCAGCTACAGAATCTGTTCCTTCATGGCTGTGAGGAGAAAAAGAACCCATGCAAATGTACTGTCTCATTAAAACATACATTGTTACTTGTGTTTAATTAGAGTATAAGGTTTAAAATTGTTATTTATGGAAACAAAATTTCTTCATTTTCACCTAACTGTATTTTAACTTCATAAACTTTCTGAGTTTTAAGCATCCCTAGATATTGTCCATAGTGGTAGCCCTCACTTTGTAATATGGATTTTCACAGGGAATTTTATCAATCAATGAAAAATTGCAGCAACTTAGAGCTGAACATATTATGCATTAAATGAGTATATCTTACATTCAAACACTGAACTAAAATTCATTTTTTAAATATGGAAAATATCTTAGAAATTGCTGTGCAATGGCATTAAATGTACTTTTAAATGTATTTTAAAATAAACCTGCTTTGAAAAGTATAGGGAAAGCTTCATCACAGTGCTGAGATAGTAAAGATTAACTTTCAACTGATTGGCTTTGGAAACTGTACACCTAAAGACACAGCTGTGCAAGCACCTCATGAACATATGCCTCACTGAAATCAGCTTAAAGGCATTCAGACATCTCAAAACTGTACTGCAGTCCACTGAGTAACAAGTATGAAAATGGTGTTGTCACTCTGTGATAGAGTAAAATAACATAATTCTCAATTTTTCGAGCTTTTATACCTCAGCAGCCCATACATTTTGCCTTCAATCTTTTCTGTCTTTTATGTGTTTCCTCTTGCTAAGGCTATACATACAAAAAAATGGGTTTAAGAAGGTAATCTGCTACCCCTTAGGCATCATTTTCCCCCCTAGAAAACAGAAGCATTTAAATCTTGTTTCAGTCTGTTTCATACCCCTTACCTAAAAATGACAAGATTTTATACAGTTATATGAATTTTCTATTTAATACATTTTTGTAAAGTGTGCCTATGATCACCTAGTTTCATGGAAATGGCCTATTCTTGAACAAAACAATGTTCAGGATTATCTTGACTTTTTTACTCTGATTTAGATATATGTTCACCCTTCTAAAATACTGCATTTATGCACAGTCAACAATGGCCTTTTTATCACAGGGACATAAAGTAGTCAACAGGCACAGATCTGCATATTAAATAAACTGTGCCATTAAAAAGCTTTAAAATAGTAAAACTAGATCCAAACAAAAACTGCTGATAGCAGCAGCCAGCCCAGTGCTCCCATTTTTGCCCTCAGTTTTAACACAACCAAAATTTTCTCTCTTATTCACTCAGTTCCCTCAAAATCTCTAGGTTACAAATTCTGTAGGTAGCTCTGCAGCTCTGATGAAAAAGATGTTTTTCCAAAGTGTTTACAATATTCTCAAAGTGTTTGGTTTGGAAGTAAATTTCACAACACCGTTTTGTCTCCTTAAATCTCTTTTGTGGATCCCTCACTGTGGGCTCCATCTTTACTGAGTGCCAACTGTTTCACTCTGCACAGCCCTCAGTTTGATGAATTTCTGTCAGTATGAACAAGCTTTTTAAATGCAAGTAAAATGTCTCGTATACTGGCAGCACCGTAACATATGTAACAAAAACTACTTTATTGTTATATAACTGTTGTACAAAGTTAAACTTCTCTAGCAGACTACTTATGTCACAACTTTACCGTTTCAAAACACTTACGTGCTTTTAATATAAATACAAATAAGTATCAATATAATATAAATTATAATTTTCCATATGGGGAACAAAAGCATTTAAGTTCAACAAATGGAGACCATTAAAGAAACAAACGGAAAAACTCCTTGGCCAAATTATAAAAGATGTAACTTTCAGCTAAGCAGTCTGCATCCAAACCTAATAAATTACACCTATCTGCTGTTTTAAAAAATGAAGTCTTCAGCAGGGTTGTATATATATATATCTTCAAACTATTTTCTGCAGCCTTCTCTTGTAATACCTGCTCGTTTTCCCACCAACTTCACAGAATCAAAGTGCCAATATTAAGCAGTGCTCAGACTATTGCTGAGTACAATAACTTTCATTTTCCTAATATTTATAATAATTTATTAATAAGTGTGACTGCTTCAAAATAATGATCCTTGTTAGAAGCAGTGTTCGAAAAAACAGAGGCAGCTTTTTCAAACGCTGTGTATTTACATTAAGTAAAAATAAATTACTTGCATGTCTATTAGATGCAGCTACAGGAGAAGCAAATAAGTATCGAGATGTAGAAAGTGCTGTAACTTCAAATTCCTTCTAAAATTTCTTCTAAAGTTGCTATTATAATGTACAAGCCTGTGACTCAAAGAAAATATCTCACAGTTCAACAGGAGAGGACATGACTAATATATAAGGATGGAAAATATACTGCAATACCTCTTGGCAAAATTCCATCCTATCAAACAGTTGCCTGAATTCTGACAGCAATTTCATACTATTAATACTGATACCTGTAAAAGAAATACCAAAGATCCTGGTACAGTCACCCAAACCTATTTTTGCAGTTGTACTCTAAGCATGTAATTATTACATAGCATGTAATAATTAAATTAAATAAATGCTACTGTTTAGATTCCTTATTAAGTATTAGTTTTCCTGACTTGGTTGAGTTCAATTAAGTCCATTTGTATATCTTCTTAGGGAAAATCAGTAACCTTACAAAACAGCAGATGACATAACTTTCCTTTGATCCAGCCTAAAATGTAGAATGCTTTTGTTTCATTTTGTTTAATTTTTTAATTTGACTACACCTCATTACATTATTTTTTTAACCATGCTATCTTATATAAATCACTTTTTATATCTTAAGAATTGAATGCTAAATTAGACAAATGATATAGCCACAGTGGGTGGAGATTAAGTGAACTTCTTAGGGTAAAGACTATGCTTTTCTGCTTTTTCAACAGATTGTGAGTGGTTTCTGGGGAAAAAAAAAAAAAAAAAGGAAAATTGTAAACAAATAGAATGAACATAACATTCCATTAAGATGTCTTCCTGTATCACTGAAATTGCTGTATTAACTATTCAAAACCACAAAGAGGTTAATGGAGCTTTTGAATTTTTTTAATAGTAGCTGATGAATAACAACATATGGAATTATGTATTCCTGAGCTCCAAGTAATATTTCATAAGACATAGGCTTGTTTCAGGTCACAGAATTACACTGAAGCAGAAGAGAGATAAGGGTAAAAAAAAGAAAAAAAAGAAGGAAGAACTGAAGTTGAAATAAAACAATACTGCTCCTCTAGAAGGGATTTGATCTAAAGCTTCAAGAGGAAGCCCTCATATGCTACAGATCCATGCTGTTACATAAAACATGAGAAAAAGATGATTCTTCTGTGGAATAGTTGGAATGATGGCTAGCATATCTTCCCTTATATGAAAATCAACCATGGAAATTACAGATTTAGAAGCCATAGAGATGCCAACTAAATGTCAGTTAGAGGAGTACAACTTTCTTTCCATATACAGAGGTTTCTCCCAAGAGAGGGAAATGTGGTGCAGTCAACATGCAGCCAGCGTCTCAAAGTGAAGGGTGCTTCTATATTCTAAGGTGAAGGTGTAAACACAATGACTTAGACAACTAAGAAACACTCAGAATTAATTGAAGAAAAAAGTCTAAAAACAAATACAATGATCCTATATACAAAAAGAAGCCCCCTATCAATAAGTACATTCAGAGCCACTCTCAGGACTGAAAAAAATGATGAGAGGGAAATTCATGGTACTTCCTCCAGCTGATAAAGACACTGCTGGAGCACTAGCAGTGATGCACTTGACATATTCTTGGAATTACATATTCAGTATGTAGGGAATGTCAAAATATGAATCAACAAAACCATGAGTGACATTTCTACAGAGTTTGGTGTGAACAGTTAGATAATGCTAACCATGCATGGAACCAACAGAGCAAGTGTCTGGGAGCTGTGTAACTGTATAGTAAGAGACCTTGCTCCCATCCAGTCCAGCAGAACAGTTTAGGTTTATTATGCATTAACATACTCAAATGCCTTCAAAAACACATGAAGCCATCAAATAACAACTTACAGTATCAGGAAATAAGGTATCTCTTACAAACTTTACATCGTCGTTTGCGTCTTGTTCTTTTTTGTAATGCTGTTTTTGCTCAATTTCCTTCAGTATTGTCAGATCTTTTCAAAATATGTTGCACTTCCAGATTCATTTATAAGCGTGTTTCCAAATGATGGACTAATACTTACGAAAACACCTGATAAATCTCTTCAGACCTTCCTTTACGCAACCTCAGCATCCAAGCACCTGGATTTGCTTTCAGCTGAAAATATCCCTATGAAAAAAACAACAGGCACTTCTTATGTCTGCATTTCAGACTCAACCATCTACATACACAAAAATCAATTATCCAACATTTATACTAGCCCTAAAAGAAATGTGTCAGTGATGCAACCAACTATCAGCTTTCCTGCATGTCCATAATAACGTTTTTCAGTGCTCCATTCATTTCTAACTGAATTTGACTTGTGTACAAAAACTCCATCAAGGACAGCAAGTAAGTGAGCAGTAAAAAAATAAATTACTGAACTGACCCTAAATTGAAAACCTTCTATGAAACTTAAATTTTTTGTCCTGAACAACTTTCTGTGTCAACACAGTTCCTTCTCATTTTAGGAACACTGCAAAGAGCTATCACTGTGTTAAAGTCAGATGCAGCAAGCTTTGAAATGTGAGGAATCATTAAAAAGCTTTGTCATGCCAAACATCATCCACTGTTGAAACCGTATTCAGTATTTGTGTAAAAATCAAAGATTCACAGTTTATTAAGCATTTTATTCCTTGTGATATAGTATTTACAGAGAACAGAGAATAGTAGATAGGTAAGAGGTCTTATTCATCAAAATTCTTCCCTATCAAATTACCTTAGCCAATAGAAAACAAATCTTTCACTTCAGAAATCACAGGGTCTTCTGCTCTACAGACTTGCCAAACTGAAAAATAATTACTTTGCATGATGAGAGGAATTCTGAAGTATGAACATGTCCCATACAGGCTCTAAGCACTTACCTGAAGGGTCTAAAATAGGAGCCTTCTTTTATCCAGGGATCATTGTGTAACAAAACTGGATATTTTAACCAGAATGTGAATCATACCTTACATTTGTCAGTGGAATCTCCATCTGAATATATTCTTATCTGAATATAACTATCTCCTACTATCTACTAAAGGTAATTAGGCTCCCAGTTTAGGTACTTCAGGCTAGAGCCTAAAATTAGGCCATAGTCAAACCTATACTAGATAAGAAGAGAAGCAGGAGGAAAGTTCAGCAAATTAAAGATAGTCTCAACTCCAGGATGTGCCTGTTACTTTTAGCATTACTAAGCTTGCAACACAGAGAAATGGATTTAAAGAACAAGATGCTTATAAAGAATTCTCACATAGTGTGCAATTGTAATGACTATTCCTGTACTTAACACTTACGAGGTTGGCCATCACAACAGTATCAACCATGACAGGATTTTTCTTTGTGCCCAGAGTGAACTGTAACCCTCGAGGAGGTTGTCCAGTTGTCACATCAAAGCAATGCCCTTCAAGCAATATATATTCCAGTTCATATTCTGCTATAACTGCCCCTTTTACCTATGGAAGGAACATTTTATCATTACATTATGTCATTTAACCATGTGGGAAAACGCAACATATTACAGTGACAAACACGTTGCATGGGATTTACCCCAACTTAATTCAAGAGTCAAAATAACCCAGAAAGGTCCTTCCATAAGGAACTTCACCCAATTATAAAACAGGCATCCAAGATTAAGAGGAAGGATCACTGTCTGGAGGTACCTTCTCTCCACTGACTGTTGAGAAAGCTGAGGCATCTCTGCTTTGGTAAGGTAAATCCACAACTTTTGTTTTCACAATACGCCTTTCAAATACACAGCTTTGGTCAAACAAACACCCTCAATGTTTTGCATAAGCTTATTGACTGAAACAAATCTAGTGACTTTGAAGATGAGGGATAAAAATATAATTAGAAAGTAACTAAAAGAACTGTGGAACTAAAAGAGGGTCAAATACATTTTAACCTACATTAATGAACAGTCATATATTCAGGTTTATTTGAAGATTTACCTAGTTTAATCCTATTACTACCAAAATATATATAAAAATAAAAATATAAAGAATCCTTTAATTGCTTTACTTATTTTTGTAAACATAAAGCTTAACATAGCAGGGAAATTGCCTTGACTTGTACTCTGCATTCTGATTTTTTCTGTTTCATTGTTTTCTTTTAAGACTTGTCTTTTTGGTTTTTTTAAGTAAGAGAAAATGAAAAAAAGACCATGACAATAGAAATGGTAAAATATTGACTAAATAATCAACTACCTAAGAAAATATTTCTGGAGAAAGACACAAACCACAAATCTCACAGTATTTCCACTTCCCTCTTGAAGTAGAAGGTCCAGCACAAGTTTTATAGTGTTTACAGACTTACCTCCTGTAAATGAATGTTATCGAGATCACAAGAACTGTTAACTGCTTCAACCAACCAGCTTTCTGGAGTGATCATGTTTAGAGTCAAAAGAGGTGATTCTGGCAATTCTAGGAATTTTGCCACAGGTTCAGAAGGAAGGTGTTTGTTAATCCCGTAAATTAATTCTGGTTCCAGAACAAACCGATAGAAGCTGTTGAAAAAGAAGCATTAGAAAAAATATTTTTACTAAAGCACAAAGTTCCAAACACGAAGTTCTTCTAAAATACTTTAAAATATAGGGAATGTTTACCAAGAATGTTTACCAAATTAATGAAGCTCAGAAGCACAGTAGTTCCCTATGCTCTTGGAATACCATCAGACGATACCAACAGCGACTCAAATGGGCTGGTAGATGAGCATAGATCTATTTGCTTTTGTTACTTTCTTTGCTGTGGAAGTGCATATTTTCCATTAACATTCTAAATGCTGTGAAGGTGAATACCCAAGAGGTGCATCTAAACATCTTGACTGTGAACAGCCTCCTATTCTCAGAAGCGGTATCGCTGAACTAAGCAGAGGGATTAATCTCTATTAGAAGAAAAGAGTCTTTCAGAACCGCTCCTGACACTAGCAGAAGCAAAGACAGAACAGAGGAAAGGCAGTGGTCTCTCTATTTCTCTCCAGCTCTTTACCTCATTTATTCCACAGCTGAAAGTTCTCCCAAGCATAGCAAAAGGGCCAGGCACTAACACCTGCAAAAGTACCCAGCCTTAAAAGCGATCATGACAATGTTCGCACAAGTTATTCAGAAGACTGATGATTCAGATACACTTCAGTCTAAGAGATGTGACTAATTCCTCTCAAACTGAGCAGAAACTAAGGACATTTCTCCTAGAGGGAAAGGAATCCTCCCTGGGGAATCTATTTCAGTGTAAATATCTATCACTGAATTAGTGAACTTTGTTCTCTACAGAGAATTAAAAGAATACTTCAATTTATGGCAGTACTTTCAGGGTCTAATATTCTTTCTGAAATATAGTGAGATCTCAAATGCAGACTGTACATTTATTCAGATGAATTTCATTATTAAGTGTACTGAATCTGCAAAACTCATTATACAGACAGTGGGCTGTAAAAAGCGACCAAGTTAGGCAGACAATCTTCCTCTACAAGTTTTCACAGACATAAAAGACTCTCCACTGATTTCTCTGAGCTCTGTTTATAAGAGGTGCATTTGATGGACTGGATCACTTCCCTGTGATCCCATGCTTGACACCTTAGAACAAGAATTTCTCTCTAGACAAATGCAAACTGCTAAGGTAACACTTAACGAGAAAAGAATCCAGAAACACAGAGCAATATTATTCTATTTAAGGGAATATACACTGTTAAGGCTGTTTTCCCAAACTGAGCAAGATCATAGAAGAAAAGTTATAAACTACTTACCTCTTTAGTGGCAGTTCTGACAGCTTAGATTTGCAATTCAAAAATAACCTGAGTTTCATATTAATAACGTCCTTGAGTACCTACAGGAAAAAAAATCTCTGTAAGAAATGTTTCTTGGTAATCACCAAACCTTGAAAATAAGCCAAAGTCATCCTTGCGACATCCTGTAATTTCTCAAGTTTCAGCAGAAGTCTCAAACTTTTTAACGTTCTAAATATATCTGTCTGTTAAAGGATGTTGTCAGATATTCCAAATAAAGATATGACCTTTTCTAAAACTGCATGATTTAGCACATGCTATTCTTGATAGTCAAAACATTGATGTCTTCTCCTAGTGATAATGTTTTTTGAAGAGCAGCTGTCCCCATTTTCCAATACTTGAGTAAATATTATCACCTTTCTTACATTGTGTTTTCTAGATTTTAAAACACTTGAAGTTCTCTAAGTACAACACATACCTTTTATTCAATAACCTGTCTTAAAACAATTACTTTCACTCTTACTAAAATAGTTGTATATAGAATACTGTTGAATACAGAGAATTATTTTAATAATTAGTTAATAATCTTAAAAGTCAACAATACATTAACAATGTATTAAACCATTCAATCAACTTCAAAAATTTCAGGAAGTTAATATATTTCTATTTTTTTTTTTGAGTTTCTTTATCTGTTTATTTCTAAAATACTAATGTTCTGGATGTTGTTACATAGGAATAATAATATTAGGACAATAGCCTTTTCTTATTTTTATGAGCAATCTGTTCTGTTTAAAGCTAACAATGTTCTTAATTTATTTTAAGCGCCGAAAAAAACCTTTATCAAGTTATCTTCATTTCTTTGGTTTCTGATACACTGCTTATCTGAAAGCATAAAGCATCTGTGTCTACATTTATGGATATTATTAGAATAGACAATAAGATATAAAAGCTAAGTTAAAATATGGATACCACTGGGGCTAAAATCGAAAATTATAAGGGCAAATAAATTGGGAACAAAGCAAGACAATGGTCACTGTTAAATTTCTCCTTTATTATAACTGTATTTTTTCTTTCCTCAGTTCAACCCATGGCTTACACACATTCTTTATTACAATGCTGGAACTTTACACAGCCCTAGGGACCTGTTCTATTCCTAGTTCCTCATTCTCATCCTTTGTGTCACCTGAATACCATCACTGGAAAACTACTGAACAAAAAATAAAGGCTAGGGAACAAGTGAAGAAGCAAAAACCAGGAACCCAGCATCACTTCGAAGCATAAGAAGGGAAAGTATTACATGACGGAAGTTTAAGACTATTAAAATAGAGATCCAAGTGACTTAAATATCTATCACTCAGAATAAAAAGCATGATATAAATGAACTTTACCTTCAAACAACACAACACCCTCATCCCATTAGCAAGAATGATACTTCAGCAATCTGCATTGATAGGCTGTTGTGTATAGAACGAAATGATCTTACAAAAGGCTGAAGTATCGTCCTAATTCATCAGCTGACCATGGCATTTAGCACAGTAGCAAAAAGAATAACGCCATTCTTTATTAACATTTCAAAGTAATTTGAATAGAAAATGACAAGACAATAATGCATAATTTCTGTGGTTTTCAACAATGCAACTTCTGGAATACTGAATTTGGTTCTGTTATTTAGGTCTTATGAGGACACCAAAAGCCAGGACATTAAAGTCAACACATGAAAATGGTTACAAGACTGGAAAGCCTCTTATAGCATATTTGAAGAATTCAGTCTATTTACTTTAAATCAGAAAATTCAAAGAAGAGCATGTAAATTTAGTTCACAGAGCATTTCATGCCATAAAAAGTGGCTGAATTATTTCAGTTTACTAGGCCTGAAAATTATTTAAGAGCAAGTTCTATTGTGCATATGCAGTCACTTTGCAAAACACTTAAGTTACCACAACTCATCTGAAGAGCATTAACTCCCTAAATCATGATTATTCAACCAATCATGTGGAATTGTTTGTGAATGTCACCATAATACAAAGCATCTACACTGAAAACAAACTCTTATAATAGAATCTTCAACATAACTGGCAAAATAATGAGAAGATAAATGCTTACAGCATGAATCTAAACAAAAATCTGTAATGCCAAGTCCAAGTTTAACAGTCAGATTACTTACCCACTGGAAAAGCTCAGTAGGAGCTCTAATCTGCACTCAACCACTTGATATAATATTTAAATTAGGAATTGATTAAGAAATTATTTCTGCTTCAAATACTAATTGATAAAAAGAAGTCCTATGACCCAAGTTATATAGGAAATCAAACTATATTATCAAAAGAGGCTCCTTCCAGGATTCCTTTTAGTTTAGGGATGAAATAAGAGTTTCCCTCTGAGGATAGAATGCAAAAAGGAAAAAAGGCAAAAGATACCTGACAGAAAAAAAGAAAAGATTTGATTTTTCTCTCCACATTTTTAAATTACTGGATACTACTGGAACAAGAAAAAAAAAAGGCAGACAATCCTAGAAGTATGTATAATAATTTTTCAGCTGTTTTTGGCGAACCATGAGGTAAAAACAACACAATTCTTTGATTCTGTCCTCCATTTTAGCAGAAGGAATTTCCATTTTTTTTCACATCACCTTAGAGATCACCTTCCTAACTTCAGGACTAATTAGCCGTTCCATATATTCTGCTAGGAACTTATGGGTTCCAACCAAGTTATGGCAGGTATTTCAATATTTACTGTAGACAGAGACTGTGCCTTGTCTGGAAATACTTGATGCTGAAGGCTATAGCAAAACTTTTGAAAAAGGGAAAACACGTTATATGGAGAGTGCTACCTGACTCACTCTGGAGAGGATATAGAGCAGTTCTTATGGTACAATCCAGTATATATTTTAAAAACAGACAGAAGCCTTTACTCAGCTCTCATTCATGCTCTGACTCATACCTTGCCTCCATCCTTAAATTGCCAGATTCTCAGACTAAGCAGTAAAGTTTAGATTACAGTTTATCTATACTTACTTAGACCCTTCTCAATTTCAATTCCCCTTAATCTGAGTAACTTTTTGTTGATATTTAAAAAAACCCAAAAAACCAAAACACAAACACCAAAAGATTTCTCTGTAGAAAGTGACACAAAGTAATATAATAGCATGGTTTCACCAGGGTAAGAAAAAAAAAATCATGATATGGACATATTCAATGCAGACTGGGCAAGAATCACGTGTTTTGACACGGTAGTTACTACACAGACTTTGCACCATGAATGGTTACCAAAACAATATACTTGGCACTAATCCAATTATATTACTCAAAAGAAGAACCTTTAAATATAAATACATTCAGGTGCTTAAAGTTTACATTATTTAAGTCACCTATGTATACAGCAAGATAATCAGAAAGGCATCCATGTAAGAACTTGGAATCTGGGGCTTGCTGTACATGTATGCCTGTTTTGTCTCTACACCAGGACATGGTGGCTTTCCAGATAATTATATATATTTTTAATATATAATTTTAAAATATAAAAATATTTTAAATGTAAATTTAAAATATGAAAATTTTCAATTTTTAAAAAACATTATTAAAAACTATCATCTACATTTAAAAAGTTCTGATTTGTTTACTTTCAACAGCATTTCCTTATTCTCTCCTAAGGGTTGGCTTCTTGAATAAAACTAGAACTCCTGTGAATCAAGTAGTATCTGGCATAGCTGAACAGCTTGGTTCACCATGGGAGGCCTTTGCCCAGGCATGCATGAGGGAACCTGTTGTGCCAGGAGGAATGGAAGCTTCTGCTCTGAACTGCAATGTTCTTGACGTGATTTATACTCCCAATATGAACTTCTCGCTAAACGGAGAGTTTCCAGTCAATTTCAACATGCAAATATTTTCATTTGGTAATACCAACCTTTCATTTCAACTGAGAATGGTGAAATGAAAGATCTCATTCTAGAGAAAAGCTGGCATTTCAGTACCTTGAAATATCAGAATTTTCATGAATTTTTTAAAATGTTTTACTCTGCCTCACTATTATATCTGAAGAGTGAGTGGATGCTTCAACATTTGATAGAAAAGAGTATGAAAATGGCAGGGGAAAAAGCAATGTAGGAATTTACAAAACTTGCATAATTACTGCAGAAAAAAGAAGATAAAAGGGGATGCACCAAAAATCAAGTTACAGGCTTCAGAATTGTAGTAGACCATAAAGTGGAGACAAAATTTGCATTTTTATGGAAACTATAAAGGAACCTGAGGCAGAGTGACATTCTGCAGTAGGTGAAAAAGAAAATCATTTTAGCAGCTATGTTTTTAGGACCTTTTCTCTTCAGAAGATCAATAGCTACACACAATGGAAGACTATCTAGATATACTTGATAGCATTAATCAACTGAGAAATACTCCTCCAAGAGCTGAAAGGTTTATAGTCCAATCTTCTTATGATGATATTACAGGTCAGATTTAGACCACCTCAACTGGGTACCTTGGAAAACTAAGGTGATCTGGTTTAATAGAATGAAGCATATGCCTCTTAAGATTTTGAGATGGGAGATTCTATTCCTCTCTATTACGTAGACAATCTCCTCCTTTCCTTCTATTGACTATAAAGAGCACTTATGGACTCACTTTTAAGAGGACTGGTGCATGGGGCATATCAAATTTACTTGCAAATAAGGTACTCACAATGACAAATGAAGTCACCCCCAACATTTTTTATGAATTAAAATAACTACTCACATATTTAAAAGAAAAAAAAAATTGTTTAGCCTCTTATTATACTCTACGTGGAAATTAGAACAAGTTTAGTAAAAATCAAGCTACAAATATGTAAATGAAAAGAAATTACCACCATCTTACAATCAGTAAATGAGACATCTTCTGTGCTTCTCTTGTCAATGGATCCACAATAGCAATAACATCATAGAATGGTTCATTCTGTTGGGGGTTGACTTTTACTACACTGTTAAAAAAGTATTAAAAATAAGTGACATGAAAACTCTAAATCGAATTTGTGGAAATGACAAACATTTTTAGGCATGAATTTGTAATATCAGAAGCACTTCAGACTTTACTATTCAAGAAGACATTTCCCTCATTTCAAGCAGTAATCGTGATTGCTCTCTGTGATATCACCAGAGAAACTAATTATGAACAGAAATTAAAAATTTAGCATTAATCTACATAATTTTGTACTTGTTATTGATTAGATACATTCCCTACAACAAAATTAATACAATAAACCACAGTAAAACTTGAAAAAAATGGCCTTTTTGTCACTCATCTACAGTTTCCTTCACCAAGATCTAGAACCATCACATGAGACAAGTGCTGGCAGTGCTACAATTTAGAAAAAAAAAATAAAAGAACCAAATAGTGGGAAAAAATGGCTTAGATTAGCTTTATGGATTAGCTGGAAAGCTGGATTAGCTTTATGCATTCCAGAAAATAATTTAGTTTGATAAGCTTGATTAGACTAAGTCAGGGAGACCCTACTTAAAGTACTCTAGATCTACAGGAAGGAAATGTTAGTAAACCTCACTTTGAAAACTAAAAAAAAAACCAGTGTGCTGTAAATACACAAAAGGGACTACCTGAATTTGTTTTCCACAAAAGGTATGGCAGCAGCACAGTACTGACTGTTACTAGTCATTAACTAACTTTGACAAAGGTGTTAGCCTCTTAAAACAGGCTACTACTGATTTTGCTCCTATTTTCAAAAATAGCCCAAGAGCCCACCAGCACAGCACACTGGAGCACCTTCACCAGTAAAACAAGTAGGGATTCTGAAACAACATTTCAAAAATCTTTAGTTTGATCACAGGTCTTGTGTTACCACATGTCCTTTTAAAAAATGTACCTGTCTGCTCCAATAGGCTTGCCCCAGCTAAGCTTAATTTAAAACCAATCTACTGTTAGTATCCCATTACAGAGGGGACAGGATTCACAGATGCTCATCTTGGTACTTCAGGTCTCATTCATCCACAATAACAACAAAAGGTGACAGGGCATATTCACTTTCTAAATTCAGGATTCCAAACACAAGGAGCCAACACACAAGTAAGGACACTAAAGACACATGAGCTCCCCAGGTCTAAATCTGCTGGCTGATGACAATCGGTTCACTTTTCTGTAAGGAATTAGCTGCCAGTGAGCCCTATTATTTTGCATTTTAATGTAATCTAGTTGTATTAGCTGCGGTCAAGAATGACACTGCTAAGCCATAAACTGTTATCCAGGTATAAGCACATGTACATCAGTCAAGATCCACAGACATAAAAAGCTGTGCTAATTTTCCACATAAACAAAAATCAGTGGGGGTTTCTTTTAGTTCTTATCTATGAAATTCCTTCTAACATTTTAGTAAATGTATTGACTCCAAGGTTTCTAACTCCAGATCAGTGACTTCTATTCACATTAATTGTAATCACTCTTTTTCCAGCAAAGGATAAGATTGGAAAATCATTAGGTATTACTAAATAATTTTTAAGAAAGAGGTAAAAGTACATTATGCTATGGCAAATGAACAGGTTGTTCATACAACCACAGAACCAATAACTTATTTTCAAATGGGAATGCTTACTCAAGTTTCCAGACATCTCATGTAGTCATCAGTACATTCTAATTTTAATATGAAAGTACTGTAAATGCACTATCATGACAGACAGAACTTACCTGTGCTGCTCTTTAAGTAATTCAGCATCTTGTCTCGTCTCTGTTTTAGGTAAAGATGACAGAAGGGCATCTATTTTCATAACCAAATCACTGCCACTATTAAAATATTTAAAAAAGCACATACAGTTTCATTTTCATTAGAAAAGGAGTAAAACATTTAAATTTTAATGTCTGTCTGCATAATATTTAGGAAGCCTATATCCCAAACCTGGACTCTTTAATGGAATTATCACCTCAGTATTTGCAGTAAAACCTTTAGCATGACAATGCCCAAGAACCACTACAGCCTTAGAGCTTGTGAACTGCACACTTTTAATTTTAAACGATGCCAAATTCGCAGAATTATAATTCAGCTGCACAGTTGTGATGTTACAATCGGCTGACTTTCTTTTTTTTTTTTTTCAGTGTCACTAAGTCACAATATTTGTCTGAATGTTTTGCCTCCCACTACTTATCTCCTGGATATCTAACTCTTGCTGATTTTGTTTGTCTGGTAGTGATTCTCTCTGGCAGTGTGCCAGTCCTTCCAGATAACAGAAATGATACTCAGACCCAGAAAGCCAACAGATATTGTAAAAATAATATAATTTTGCTCTCTTCTTTGTAAACAAACTGGATCCTCAGACTAAAAGATGCCTAGAACTCAGCTCTACACTTCTTCAATGAACTGATGTGTAAATGTTGTCTAGCACAGTGTCAGGGCACCACATCTGCCCACACCTCTGCAACAGGCTCCTTTACTAACAATTCCCACAGACAATGCACTTTATGACTTCAAATATTAATACTCAGATATTACTGTGGGTTTAAGATGCACTGTATTTTATCAAGCTCATTATTATTTTTTACAATTACTCTTACATAAACAAAAGCTAGTAGGAGTTGTTTACAGTTATCTGCACTCTTGGTTCTAAGTACAGTGAAAGTAGAGAAAGGATTTGGAGTAATTTAGTAGAGCTGCACGTGTGATATGAGGTGAGTTGGAGAGGATGTGATTTTTTGAACACACAAGGATCGTTTATGCCTTAACCTCATCACACATATGTGCAATGACAGAAGAGTGCACTTCTCTAGACTAACACAGGGTGCCTTTTATTCTGCTCTGTGCTGTAACGAGGTAACAAAGAGGCTCTCAGCAGCAGGATGACACAGGCAGTTGAAACCCAAAATGCATAGTTTATATATCTAGTGGAAAACTATGTTAAACAGCATAATTAGCCAAGCATAAAGGTGATACAAAATTTAGCAGGTGTGTAATTTCTTCTGGAAAACAGGGCAAGGGCTGGAGTAGATAAGTATACTAAATCTGTCAGGGAAATGCTAATGAGGCAATGAAGGACAGACAAAGCTGTCTACACAGAAGTACTCAAATGCTAAGTAAGAGGATAGCAAATATACAGTACTCAAACACCAAACACTTCAGGTGCATGTAGAGTGTATATATATAGTATGAAGAGTACTGTGACTATATATTCGAACCTTTGTTCATTATTTCCCCATGCAAAAAGATGATTAATTTGTCACAGGCAACAAACAAGACAGTACATCATAAAGCCTCAAAATGCAAAAGAATTTTACCTTTTACTACTGTTTCCCATCTGTTTGACAAGAGCTTTAATCTTCTCCGCTGAGGTACTGTATGTTATCTTTTCTAACAAATCAAAGTCTTCTGCAGAGAATTCATTTTCATCTAAAGGACCCAGTACCTTAGATAGAGCAAAAAATGTTACTAAGTGTAGAGTGTCGCAATCCTGTTCCATTTGTAAGTAAAAATACATTCATATTTTAAATGAATGCACGATATCCAATGTGCAACCCCCACCCCCATACACTTCAATATCAGTAACTATAAAACACTAAACTTTATAGTAACCATGCAGAATTAGGTTTTTACAGTTATGTGATTACAGTTAATTATCAATCGCAAAGAATACTTGCAGTCAAAATATCCACGCTATCTTTCGTTATACATCCCTCTGTAAAGGAATACACTACTTAGAAATAACAACTCTGAGTTTATGAAGAAGCTCTGTTAGGTACATTAATTTAAACTCAAATTACTATCTGTCTACCACACTCTTTAGCTGTTTAATTCTGTGAGCACAATCTGAACTTCTCAAGGCTTTCTATCCGTTCTAAGCATAATGAACAGAAAGAAAGAAAAGAGCAAAGGATAAGAGATGCAGAATTAGAGACAAGATACGGAACTACTACGTTATTTTGGTGCCTGAAGGAAAAGAAGGTGCCTTGAAGTTCCAGAAAATAGCTTTGAGGATGCTGTTTGGATTTTCTACTCAAAGTCCACCAAGCTAAATGGACCCAAGTCAACTTGCAGGGTGCCGAGGATGTAGAATGCCATGATGTAAGTTTGGTGTTGAATGCCCCTCTCCCAAAATTCAACTGTTTCCTAAGAGGTTAAGTAACCTCTCTCTAGTTATTTCACTTTTGACTGTTTATTAGTATTAATGATGCATGAGACAGATGAAACCACAGTGTGATTATAAAATATCACGCTAATTTTGTAGAAGTTTTAATTAGAAAAAAATTTAATTTGCTCATAAAAACAAAACTGAAGTGCTGAAATAGCTAGGATAGAAGTGAAGGATATCCCAGATTATTTTTTTAAAAGTAATCTTTTAAGTGAAAACACACTTTCAGATGGATGAATGTACATTATCAAATTTATCCAAGTATTTTTAGGAAACATATTTCCCCAAAACTTAAAATGTGACATTATTTGAGCTTTTTAGGTACAGAGAACAGTAATAATAATTTATAAAATAACACTGCATATTTAGCTATGGGGGAGTTGACACCAAAAAAGCCAACAATTCTTCTGTGCTTCATCAACAGAAATGCTTCCTGTGTGTTTCTTAGAAGTATTTCAGTTGCATCTCAGAAGCATTTAGGATGCACAAAAGTAACTAAAGTCACACTTTCAAGAGAGTTTCCAGTAAAGGGATGCCTGCATAGTATCTCTTTCTTTCTAATGGCAGAGCAATAAATAGAAAATAGAAAAGAGTAAAGGAGTAGTCTGTATAGATTTTATTTGCAATGTGAGATATTGACTGTCGTTTAACAAGTACTAAATATTGAATGCAACGTTTTATTTTTAAATCACAGTTCATCTACAGACACACTGTAATTAAGGTTATTGGTTCCAGAATACATATATAAGAGACAACAAAATTACTGTACTTTTATTTGAATATTAAGAATTAAGACTATAAAACAACTTAATATTTATTAAAAATGTGGTGTTTTAGAGCTTGAAATACTAACATAGCCAATGTAATTTATACACATTTATTTATGTGGTATAATATAGGTATCTTCAGGACCAAAATTTATTCTTAAATATCAAAAATAATAAATCAGATATTAAACCATTTAGAGAATTTTTTCAGATTAAAACAGCTGTGGGAATTATATACATACAAAGCAGCTTCAATGGAACAGAGCTGATGAAATAGGAGTAAAAAAAAATAAAAAACCCCAAAGGCAAACATTCATACCATTCTCTATCTACAGGTTGAATAAGTGGGAAATTATTATAATGCATTTTCTTTAGCCTGAAACTGAAGTTCCAGGAAGTAAAAAATTCCTACAAGAAGACTGAGAGGTGAATTAATTTCTTTCTTACCCTGCCATTGCTCATAACAGCCATTTGCCCAGGAAGCAGTTTAAGAACCTCCTGGCAGAACATCTGGTGAGTTTTAATTAAATCCAGTCCTAAAGTGTTGTACTTCTTCTCAAAAGTATTGCCATCCATTCCCTAAAGCAAAGGTAAAGCACAAAGTGGTGGAATGATTCAGCAAAAATAAATTTTGTAACAGATGAGGTAATCAAAGATTTTCTTTAAGTTATGTGGTAATGAGAAATCCAAGTAAAACAACCTCAACTTCAGTGCAAGTACACAGCTGCTGGTCTTGAGCCAAGGTCTCACAATTAGCTAGGGTGCTGTTTTTACCCTGGGGCAGCTCTGAATAACCATGAGAGGAAAGCTGAGCCTGAGGGTAAGCAGTTTTTCCACAATCCAGCACACAGCTGCATGACAAATAACATTTTCTGTTAACAACTGAACTGTATTCTCACTTTTAGGAAAAAGATGTACAAAAAATCCATAATACCCCAAAAACCTAACAGTCGTTCTAACGTGGCCACTGGATACAACTTGAACATGTTTTGGGGAAGCCAACACCATCCAATAAGACATGCAACAAATTCAAGTTCAAAGTGGGAAAAAAAGTCAAAACTTACACTGGCACTGTGCCTTACCTGTCAAAATTATCACCTGTATTAAACTCTCCTGATATGTATTTCTTCACTAGTAATACGCAGACCAAGCACATAGATTCATTCAGATACAATTAAGGTATCAGAATAAAAAAACCAAAATAAATTAGTAACATGCCTGCTTGATTAACTACCTTTATGTCTTTCAGAATTTACTGATGAAATAAAAGCATGACTCAAAGCAACTAATTAATTTTCCAGTATGTTGCCAGAGAGTTCTCTTAGTCTTGCAACACCTCCTATTTAAAAATACTACAATTTATAGCTCCTTCTGAAACAAAACCTGTAGGTAGCAGCTGTTATTTGATAACTCAGCTCCACTCTACATGAGAAATCTGAAAACAGCAACATACATATTTTAAACCAATGAATTTGCATAAAAACACAGCAGAAAATGTTGGTCAGAACTGTATAAAGCTTGTTAATCACTTTCAGTCTGTGCCTATTACTGCTCACAACCACAGCAGCAGTAAAAAGTTACTTCTGAAGTCTTAATTCTTGAAAAACATTAATATTGTAATTTTAACTGAGAGCTATTAAAAAAAAATCAACAATAATAAATAAACTATTTTGGTCTCAATTATCCAGTATCTGTACTTGCTATGTTTCCGTATTCTTCCTTGACTTTAAATAAATCCTCTATTCTTCAACTGCATAAAAGTTGCCAAAAATCCAAATCTGTTTGAACAGAAACTGTATAAGGGTTACAAACTTATTAACATCTGGCCAAACACTGTCACTCTCAACCATGCCCCCTTACAATAAAATAAATATAAAATGAAAAAGAAAGTAATCTAATTTAGTTTTTACTCACTGGGATGAGGAATTTAGTAATTTTAGTTCCAGCAGCAAGGGATTTTGCTGTCTCTTCCTTACTGAGTTTACTCAGGAAACTTTTTAAGTTGCTGTTACTTTGTGTTAGAAAAGCAGTCAAAATTCCTCTTGCAATGGCTGTGTTAGATTCCTTTATTTTTGATGAAGGATTGTTCAAAATCCCAACTCGTATATGACTGCTTGTTTTCTGCAAAGAAAAATACAGAACAATAAGCAAATTTACAGTTCCATCTGCTGTTATGCAGTGTATTCATATTTCTGTGAAATGCATTAAAGTATTTAATTTTTTTGCAGCTATTTGTCTTCAGAAAAGTTACTTCAATGCCTAACTCACAACTTCAACTTGGAGTTTAAACATGATTAGTAAGGATTTAACTATTCTCTAATACGTATTTTAAATGGAAGGGTTTTTTTAATAGAACAATTCCCTTTGAGCATTTTGCAGAAGCGTATTTTTAACAAAGGACATACAGAAGCATTCATTTACAGATTTCAGAACTGGTTTTGTAGACATTTTTCTGTTTTTCAAAAACTATCAAACTAAGCATAAAATAAATGCAAGACAATGTATCCACTCGCCACTTTAATCTTAACCAGCAGAAAAATCTTTCACCTGCTAAAGTCAGTGATCCCACTCAAATTTTACCAGAGAACGTGATGATTCTAAGGTAGGATCAAATAGCATCACTAACTGAAGAAAAGGTAAACAGACTTTACTGCAGCAAGGAATAAAAAATCCCTGGTACTCAAGACACTAAACTTTAGCAAACTTTAAACTGCAGCCCTTGAGAAAAATTTTGTTCAAATACTTATGGTCCTCCCCAGTGCAGTAAAAGTTACTGAAATGTTGGAGAGGTTTCAGCAAAGGGCTTTTAAGATGGTCAGAATACTATGAGGAAATACTAAAGAACCTGGGCTTGCTCAGTGTCACAAAGAGGAGGCTACAGGGGATTCTAACAGCAACCAACTGCTGCTGAAGGGGAATGAAAAACATGACAGGGCCAAACCCTTCTTGGTAGCAGCAGAGTATAACAAGGGGCAACAGTCACAAATTTTGGCCTGGCAGAAAAAACTATACTAAGGAAGGCAGTGAAACACCAGAGCAAATTGTAAAGGGAGGGGACAGAGTTGCCCCCTTGGAGATTTTCAGGAATTCTTCAGACACATCTACAGCTGACCTGATCTAATAAAGGCAATAATCCCATTTTGAGTGGAAGGCTGAACTGGATGACCTCTAGAGGTCTCTTCCAACTAAGACATGTCTTCATTTTTTCAAATGAAGTAAAAATATATTAGTAGCTTTCAAAATAGTATATTATTAGTTGGAATAGTTAAAAGTGAATTTCCTTCAGCCACTTTCCCACCCAGATTCTTGCACGTTTTCTTCAAATGCTGATGGCAAGTCATGAGCAAGAGGTGTCTGAGCCAGTTCTGCAGCTATCAGAAATTCTACTAGACCCTGAGTTGACAGACAAAAGGGACTAGAAAGGAGAACCTCCATACAAATCAACGGACTTCAAAAAAAAATACTGGTTTTGGGTTTTTTGTTACGAAACTTGAAAATCATTAGATCAAGCAGTACAGGAGGTTTATGTGAATCAATCAATGAGTTAGAATGAAGATAACCAATTTAACTCCTGTTTCATTGAAGATTCTACAAACTTTATTCAGAATGTTTTTTTCTAATAGTTTTTTTTTCCTAGATTCTCCTCACTAACACATGGGGACTTGCCCAGGCAGTTCTCACCTCTTAGCTGGGAATACGGAATTTTTTCTCTGCTGAAGTGGCAGGCAGAAAACGAAACTACAGATGGAAGACATGTCAAGCTTGGGTCACTGATCTAGCAGTCAGAGAAATTAAATGTTTTTCTGTAAGAAGAACTTGTACTGAATATTCCTCTTTCCGTTTTTTAAAGCCTCTCTCTAATACATACTTGTTATTGCATGCTCTCTGCAAGATACCAATTTTCTAATTCCCTTAGGTGTGGTTCCTATTTCATTCCTGATTAGAAAATGTAGATGCTTTTCCAATTTCAGTTAAAGCACTCTCCTAACCTGACCCGAACTGAGAGTTTTTCATCATTTATATTCACCTGAGACATTTATACTTTATAAAGTATATTTATATATTTATATTGTAGACATTTATACTTTAAATCCTATTATTAATACAGAAGAACTTAAATTTAAAAGAAAAGCAAACTCATGAATGTGGACAGTCCTCCTAGCATATTAAAAACACACACACAAAAATTAATCCATCTTTGAAGCACACAAACAGTACATGAAAAAATGGTTGCTTCATGGTCACAGTTATGCCACATAACACAGGAAAACACTGCATAATGGCTCACATCAACAGGCAGTATCCTAAATTCCTTGGCCCAGGTAACATGCTGGTATACCGTGATGGGAGAAAGTCTGTAACTGGGAAGACATTCACCCTCTTAGTACACAGCACCACAGTTTCTCTCCTGTGCCATGAGCCCATGAACCAACCAAATGATCATTTCTAGGGGGCAGCTGTGCAAAACAAAAAGCACAGTCTCACAAGTCTGCACCTGACCCACAAAAAAATGTTGTTACACCTTTATGTAACAGTACAATTTTTGAATGTGCAGAGTGCTGTTAAGAACATATTCATAATAATTAGTTTAATAAAACCTGCTAAAAACTCACCAGGCTTTTCAAGGCATTAGAAAGCAGTTGTCTACCAGATGGCTTATCAAAATCAGCAATAATCCAGATAGTAACAGCATATACTGCATCTTCATCTGAAAATTAAAGATAATCCTACTTTACTTTCTGGAGAATCAATCTTCTCACAACTAATGAATAATGAATTAATTCTGTTTGAGATTTCAAAATTTATGTGTATGTTTGCTGACTTCAACTGCAAGACTAATCTTTGCCACATCAGAATCTTTTGTTCTCTGAATTAAGATTCTTAGGAGGTAATTTATCATGTTAATAGGAGAAAGTCACTAAAAGAGCCAAGCCATTGTTGCACTGAACCAAGAGGGCCCTAAATAATAAGCTAGCTCCAATTTACAAGACCTGCTTTACCAAAGGTTACCTCTGAAGATTGGATGGAGGTTGGTCATATAGCCAGAAATTAAAAGAATTAAGTAGTTACAAGAATCCATAAACTAAGCCAACCACTTTCTCTGGCAGCAGAGTCCTTCAACTAAATGCTGGAAAAAACTTACCATTTCTGGATACAAATGGGAATAATACTAAATACAGTCCAAAGAAAGTAAACTACTGTGTAAGTGTATTTGCAGAAAATTTCCCATTTTCCTGCTTTACAGTCTCCTGTTCTTTACTCGTCATAGAAGAGAAATGGTAGGTGAAAAAAATCTGCAAAATTATCTGTAGAAGAATATCAGTCTACCCAGGTCTATCATATATCCCCTAAAAGGTAATACATAAAGACAGAAATTTTCCAAGGTTCTGGTGAGATTCTATGAAGAGGCTATTATTAACTGTTGCTGTGGTCTAGAGAAACACACTGGGGACAGAGATATGAAATGCAGATTCCAGCTTAAAGGTTATGGGCTTTACACAAGAGATCTCACTCTTACAAATAAGCCTGAAATTGAAAGCCAGTCACTTGACAGCTAGCTGGGATGTCCCTGTGGCTGAAGACACAGAATCAAATAAAGCCAAATAATTTTATTCTGAAGAAATTAAAGTATTTGGATTAAATTTACTTCTGATAATGGAATAAGTAGAAACTCTGTAAATATAAAATAAAAATCACTGAAAGAACAGCACTTCTTTAACAGGGTTATTCTGTCTCTTATGGACTGGTGAAGAGCAGTTGTTAACTGTTCACTCCTAGAAGTAAATAAGGTGAATTTCTATGCAGAAGTATGCCCCCTCTGTTGTAATGTCTTCTAACTCCAAGGGAATGTACTTGCATATGAAATAAGAATGTTTTACATTAAAAAAATACTTCAAATGTACAAAAAAAATTGATTTTCAATAAATATAAAATGTATAAATGAGTGATAATAATCATAGAATTAACCGGGTGGGAAGAGACCTCTGAGATGATCAAGTCCAACCCTTGATCCAACACTGCTGTGGTTACCAGACCATGGCACTCAGTGCCACATCCAGACTCATCTTAAAAACCTCCAGGGACGGCGAATTCACCATCTCCCTGGGCAGCCCATTCCAATGTCTGATTACTCTCTCCGTAAAAAATTTCTTCCTAATATCCAACCTAAACCTCCCCTGGCACAGCTTACCAGAATACATATTTTATTTCTTTTCTACAAAAAGACAAAGCTTCATATAGCAAAATTAAACCATTTAGGCAAAAAAAAAATAAGATATTTATGCTAATAAATAAGATATACAATCAATTATTCCTGAAATTATAGAAATGCCTAATTTTGGTATAGTTATTACAAAGACTATACATTCTGCACTTGATAATGCTGCAACTAAGAGTCACTTGCAAACTGAATACCCTCTAATATCCTCAAGTAAAACCATATTAGTATGAAAACTGCATCTGTTTCCAAGTCTGAAAAGTCTTGCAAAGCTCTTAAACTTCATGTCTGTGAAACAAAAAGCAACTAGCCATGACGTCCAGCCCATTTCAAAACTAAAAATTTGAAAATAACTATCCTGTTAATTATAATCTATGCTTATAATATTAGGATGGGATCTGGCTCCTTAAAGAAGGTACTAAGATAATAGAAAATGTAGTTATTTACAAGTGATCCTTGGGATATTTAGTTATTCAGGATATTTTACTGGTAAACTTCAACAATTTAACAATGTAATAACCCTATACAGATAGATAGATAACCCATACAGAAAACTAATATACCCTTTCTTGTTAAATACTTCATGTTGTCTGAAATTACAGCACTTTTATCTTGTGAGTCCAAAAAGGAGAAAGTAGAGAAGTCTTCTGCATCAAATGGAACTGCAAAATGTAAAATGCAACATGTTAGATATAAAAAAATGAAAAACATAACAACAGCCAATCTGAGAAAAGAAGTTACCGGATGTGGGTCTGAAATGTATGTATCTTCTTTCTGCTCCAAGAATAGTGGGGTTTATACGGGAAACTACGTTGTTCTGATCCATCAGAAAATCTATTGCATTCATGTGATCATTTAGCAAACCCTGTAGTAAGAGAAAAAAATTACATCTGTACTTTTATAGTTCCAAGACAAAGACCAAGTATTTGTACAGTCTTTCAAATGAGCTTAAAGCTTCTACATCCATCAAATTATGGACAATGTAAGGTCAAAACCACATAAATTATATCAAAACAGACAGTGTTTCAAAATATCAGACGCACATTTTTCAATGAACAACTGCAGTATAGTCTCAGTTTCTGATTGAAAAAATCCATGTTGTTACTACCTGCTTAGTTGATCCTTCAGTCTTGAATAATTTAAATGTACGGTTTCAAAGCCATGACCACAAATTAATGTAACAATGTAACTGCAGGTGTGATGTTATTAATTCCAAGACATCTCACTATAAAAAACTTAACAGATAAACATGACTCAAACAATTTACTGCCAAATATTTCATCTTGCCTTCATTCAGGAATGTTGAACATACCATGAACACTGCCCGCTGGAAGAACTTGGTGGCATCAATAATCCTCTGAAGAATAACTGTCTCTAACTCTTCAACATCCATCTCGTCTCTATTAAAGGGCACGCCATTAAACAGCACTTGAGGCAATGGGCCCAGGCCACTCTTTTTATAAAAGGTTGCTCCTGCCTGATCACATCAGAAATATCACAGGATTAAACAGACTGTGGCTGAGTGTTGCAAAAAATGAAACTAATATCAAGAGAGGATGAACTCTAATCTCCATGCACTCTTCACTGTCACACCTTCTCATGGGTAGCAGGGACAAAGCAGGAAGCATTTGGAAAACACAGAGAAACAGATGGGATTCATTTCTCAAACAGAATGACAAAAGAAATCATAGCTCCATATACAGTGTTTTAACCTTTTGCTTAACATCTTGCTGAGAAATATTCTTTTATTCTGCTTAACTTTCTTACGAAAAAAAATTAAGCAACAATGTCGGAGAAAAACCCTGAGAAACTTTCTTCTCCCAAAGAAAGTACCGTAAAAAAACTCAAAAGGTTTTTTTGTTCATAAGTGAAGACTTATTTGATAAGAAAGCAGAACAAGTTAATTTTTCTTCAAAAAGATAAAATTCAGTGAGACAAACAGAAATAAAGATGTATTGTAAGCAACTCCCCCTTCTTATATTCTGCATCCTTTCATGTTTTCTTGCAATATCTATGTGTTCATCTTTCTGTCACCCCACTGTCTCCTCCCTGGTCTTCATCACAGTCCTACTGTCCCCGCTTGTACAGGCGATTTCTTCCTGGTGGCTGACTATTTTTCTTCCTTTAATATTCTCTGTGGGAAACTTTTCTCTACTAACTGTACCCACTTGTTTCCAGGGCAGATTCAAACTGCCCTTCCACACAAAGCCTCCAGACTTCATTATAGTGAGGAACAAACAGCGTAAGGCATATAGCACCCTTTTTTCTGGCTGTCCCAATATATCTTTTTAAAGAAATATAATACACATTAGATAACAAATTTTAAAAGGAAACAATTTAAATGGAGTCAGAAACACAAGATTGTAGGAACAGTATGGCTGAAGACACACAAAGGAAAAAGGTATTTTATGTATGTTTTAGCAGAAAATTATCTACTCAATTACAGATAAAAATGTCTTCTCTACAGTCTTTAAATAAAAATCCATAGCTGTCTTTCCCAAAGGATATTATAACCAGAAGGCACAACTAAAGAAACCAATGATCCACTTAGAAGACAGGTTTCAGCTCTTCATCCAAAGACACATACAATTTCTACAGCATGAGAGAGATCCCTTGACATGACTACTAAAAAAAATACTTGTGCTCCTGAATGCAGCAGGTAAGAGTAAATTTTCACAGTGAGATTAGTAATGCAGAAACCCTTGCAGCATTTCCATTAACGACTGAATTGTGGCCGAAGACAGTGACTCAAAGATGCTGTATCTACTTACTTTAACATTTAGCAATCCTTCAGCTTAGCAAATGCATTAAGTTGTACACTGCAGTACTTCTTACCACTTGGCTCTCAACATACCTTCCTCCCTTCATCATGTTCAGAATGAACACCTAGTATACTCTGAACATCAGCATTGGGGTATTCACTTCTAAGGACATCCTTCACATCATCTACGGTTAGAACACTTCCATCTCTCACTTCATGGTACATCTGTAAAAATTATAACAGCAAATAACTTAAAAGATGTAGTGAATTGTCAAATATAACTTGATAAAATTAATAAAAGTATATAAACAATAAAGTAAGTTTAATTTTTTTATAATGCTCTAGAAAATTTTACATCAGTATAATTTTATACTGCTGTATTGCAGTTTTTATATTGCTTTAGTAATTATCACCATTGCACATATGCACAATTTTACATCAGAGCACTGTTTTGATTAATATATTTTTATACCTTTAGTCTAAATCTGAAGAGGCAAAGGAAATACACTTATGTGAGCTGAATGTGAAAGGTTATTTCTCTCCACTAATTACAGAAGCAATATGAGTTCTTTCAATAAACTACCTAATCATGGGTAGTTACCTGAATCTATATGGGATTAATCCAAGCCTAAATTAGTCAGTGATACTTTTTCATACTGTAATAATTTTTCCTCAGAAATGTTATTTTATTTCATAGAATAATATTTTATTACTTTCATTAAACATACAATAGAAATTTGAAGTGAAAAATATTCAATCCACTTCTTTTCAAATAAGGAACAATACATTTTCCTCTACAGATCTGAGTATCTCAAACTTGTATTTTACTGATTATATTTTTGTTATCTTTTAATTATATTTATCATCCCCTCCTTTTTATATTATGAAACAAAGTAAAGAGAGGAACACATTTTAGAGGAACATTTTAAAAAGCACACTGTAAATTATATTTTGTGATCTGGTCATGGATAATTGTCACCCATGCATACCAGCTCCCTAACATCTGTGGATTTCTCTTCCAAGGTATTCCTAGTTACTTCAATTTCTTTCATCATAAGCTCTCTAAGTTGATCTATGACACAAGTTTCTAGGCACTAAACAGAAAAATAGAACACAAATGTAAGTAAAAATGTTATGCATTAATACCATATTCTCTGATACAATTTTTACCTGCAGAGCCTTTACATGGAGTGCTCACTTTATTTTCCTCCATTCATCTCTCATCTCCGAAATTCCTGGCTTTACAAGAACCTGCATTCTCTCACAAACAAAGCCTGTCTCAAGCATTAAGCTGCAGGCCTGGAGTGTTTCTATGTTTTGTACACTCATGAACAGCTCAAACATTATAAAAAAAACCCAAAGCAATTACCTTACTCTGTTTCACCTTCTACACTGGAGAAAAAACAAGGGTTTTACAAAGCTGATAGAACTACCAAAGTGACATTAAAATCCCTGTACTCCAAAAAATACAGAACACAAAGACAGGGCCATCGCATTAACACAAATAATAGAGAATAATTTTTCATAAGAAAATAATAAAATCTGCAAGGCATGCATGTACTTTTTTTATACTATTGAAGACAGCCTGTTGATAGGTAAAATGAAAAGAGTAAGTTTATTTCTAGAGAAGGGAAGTATTTCTGCAAATAATAGAATATTAATGCTAAACATGTTTCTAATATTTCTGTATAAATTATATTAATCTCTCTCATGTTACCATAAGGTAACTATGTAAAAAATAATAAATTTTTTAAAAAAAAGAGGAAAAAAGGTGATTTCTTGTGAAAGAACTAACCTTAATTATTGAGGTAAAGGCCTGAAAGGTGTCGTATTCCTCTGCAATGTAATTAAAACTTCTCCAAAGAGCTATTCCAGCATCTTCATTTCCATCAATTTCTTCTTTCGTATTTAAAATGAAAACAATTCCAATTCTATAAACAAACAAAAAATTTTAAACCAATATCCACTTCACAAATATTCTGATACAGAAGAATAAGATGTTTGCATTTAAGTAATCTGGCCAACACTTAGTGATGAAAACCCTTCACACCTGCAGATGGTTGAACACCTGTCTGCCCAAAGGAAGTGATGAATGAATTCCCTGTTTTGTTTTGTTTGTGGGCATGGGTTTTGCTTTACCTATTAGCGTTTATCTCAACTCACATGTTCTCTCACTTCTACTCCTATAATTCTCTACCCCATTTCACCAAGGGGCAGTGACCCAGTGGCTCTGAAGGGTTTAATTGCAGGCTGGGGTAAAACCACAACATCCAGAAAGCCTCAAAGTCCAAGACAGTCATGTGAAGATCTTGTTTCTCAAGGGAACAAAGATTTTTAGCAATGACAAAATCTGGTCAAACAGACTGCAAATAGTGGCATAATGACTAAAGCACAAAGTCTTTCCCAAAATAAACAACCAGGAGAGATAAAACTGAAGATATTTGAAGTTCTATTCCCTGCCAAGAACACATAAGGATCCTTCTGGTCTCTACTACACTACTGGAAAGGAATTCTGATCATTACAGTCAATTCCACATCACACGTGATATAGGAAAAGGACAAGAAACATCCTTCTGGTGAGTCTCAAGTGATAGAGCACATCTACGCCCATGGCTAGAACACAGAGATTGTGAAGAGAAGAAATATATGTCTGGGATTAAGAAATACAGCAAGTTTTCTAAAAAGATACAAATAATAATCAACGCATAAAGATGCACCATGTTCTACAACAAATTGCTCCTCCCAATTTTTACATCTCACTATTGCAAATAACTTTTCCCAAAGACTTATGTCACCTGGATGCCATAGGAACAGTCAGCAAAACTAAATATCACATGACAAGACAGGTCCCATGACTTGTCTACATCTTGAATACTGTGTACGTGACTGCTGCTCTCATCTCAGAGAAAATACATTAACACTAAGAAAGTTCAGAGAGAGACAACTCAGAAAATAAAACAAACTTTGGAACAGCTTTCAGGAAAGGAATAACTTGTAACCTAGGGAATGAAATGAGTGCAGTTGAACCTAGCAGAGCTTTATAAAATCATGACACCTATAAAATCAAGGCACCCAGAGAGAGGGAGAGACTGCTTAGGTTCCTATTTATAAGAGTACAGAGACAGTAAATGAAGCTACTAAAAGTCTGGCTCCAAACAAATGAAGCACTTTTTCATACATCACATAATTCAACTGTGAAAACACCTGGAAAAGGACACCAGGGGTGCTAAAACTTCATAGGAATTTGAGGGAAACCCAGAAAAGTTTGTGGAACAGAAACCCACGGAGGACAGCTAAATATCCAGAAACTCCATCTGGGTTCTAGAATTCTTTGATCTCTAAATGCACGAATGCCAGGAAAATACTCAGGCAAAGAACCTGGTTCCACTATTTTATTTATCATACCAAGACAATTCCTTGTGGCTTCTTGTAGACAGACTGACCAAAATGGGTCTTTACCCTGACCCAGTTTAGCTACTCTTATGCTGTTATGTATCACAAAAGACAAATTATGTTCTCGGCTATATTCTCCTCAAAGACTGAAGGAGTATTGTCTCCCAGGTAGTGACAAAATGCACATATAACTAATATTTGTCCTGCATTATGTTTCTGTAATTGAAAAATAAAACATTAAAAAACCCAAAACAATTATCAGAGATAGTAAAATTTTAATGAAAAAGGAAAACAGTGTAATTTATTGAGGAAACAAAAAGCATTTCACGAGAAGATTTTAAATATTTAACACGGAATTCATCTTGCTGAACCCTGGATACCCTTCATTTGTAAGCTGTGGAAATAAACAGTTTCATTTTTTCTTAAAAGGAGGCATCTCAGATTAACCAGATCGTTCTCCAAAAGTATCTTTATCTCAAATACTAACTAGCTGAGACCCAGACAACTAATCTTTAGAAATTCAAAACTTGGTGAGGAAAATCTCAATTTAGTCTTTAAAGTTTTTATAAAAAACCAGAATTAAGTAAAGCAACCTCAACTGAAATAACTGAATTAAATTCCCTCAAAGTATGTTTTACTTATGAATATTTTGATTACAATGCAACTCCACAATGGCATCCAGTGGGACTATTTGATAAAATAAATTTTTATCAGACTTTTGCAGTTCATTTTACACACACTCAAGTACATTATCCCTTGCAATCTATTTGCTTAAGAAGACTTAATACCTGAGTAAGCTTGACACAAGTGGGTAACCACTGTGTCTTATTAGAATGTGGTTGCACTGGACTTAATTTGTATTCACATCTTCATCCTTTGTTTTGCTAGACAAAGATGAAGAATTAAAAACAGAAAGTAACCTTATTTAACGACTCTTCCTCAAGATTTTCAGTTTTCCTTACCTAAGTGGTACATTATAATGGTAGAATAACTCTGCCACTTTCATATAATCACCTGTATCTTCTTGGACAGGATCAACAAAAAGTACCTAAGAAGAGAAAACATATCATGCAGCCAACATTTATTCTTGATGTGTGCTTTTATTTTTTTTTCAGACATAAAATCTAAGATAAGGACATTAATTTCCAAAGGAGTTGTATGCCTCAACTGTTTTCAATCTTTTAGAGCATTTATTGTAAGAAAGCATTACGAGCAAAAATGAAAATAACTTCAGAATTAATGAATTTGGATCAAATGCTGAAAACAGGATTTAACCATTTACTGAACTCCAAACTAAGTGATGATGCTTTTCTCATTTGAAAGACTCTGTGCCACTACTTTGTTTATATTCATGAACTTTATATTTATTTTAAAAATGATTACTTTTCTCTTAGTTCTTTTAACTGACTCTCTTCTGTTGTGAAAATGAAAGAAAAATATATAGAATATATTGGCTTAAAACTTCAATTAAAAGATAGACTTTTGGGAAAGGTGCTGGAGCACCTCTCCTATGAGTACAGGGAGACTTACAACAAAAATGGACTTACAAGAAAAACTTTTTACCAGTAGTAGTGACACTGTAGTGACAGAACAAGTGGTAACAGTTTTGAACTAAAAGAGGGTAGATTTATATTGAATATGAAGAAATGAGGTGGTCAGGCACCAGAGGTGTCACAGGGGAACCGGTCGCCCAGAGAAGCTATGGAGGGACCACCATTTAAACTGTTAAAGGACAGGTTGGATGAGGTCCTGAGCAACCCGGTCTTGTTGAAGATGTCACTGGTCACTGCAGGAGCCTGAACTAGATAAACTTTAATGGTGCTTTCTAACCCAAACCATTTTATGATTCCATAGTTCACGTAATTACCTTTTGCAATTTAAATTTTAATTTAAATCAGCAATAGCTGCTTCCTTAACTTACTAAGGGATACAGAATGCTATGTGCAGAGGAAAAATTAGGCTAGAAGACATTCATAATTGGTATGCTTTAAAATGTAAATCTTTTTGTACCTCAGTTGACCATCTCTAAACCAAGGACAGTTCCCTCAGTAGTGCTCTATGAAGAAGATTCTTCGATATTACTGAATTATCTATGTGTAGCATGGAAAGGAACACAAAAACTCCTGACTAAACTGTGCCCAAGTCCACTTCTGGAAATCAGACAATAACCACATATGACTCACTAGACAAAGCACTTTTCACTATTAGTAGCAGATCCACACAGAAAACAAATCTTAACAATAAATCCAGCATGTGTATTTTTTAATAAACTGTCTGTCCATGTATTAATAGATACACTATGCAAAAATATTAAGTTCTCCAAACTTACCAAATTATGTAAATTGCGTCTAATCTGCTGCAGAACTCCAGGAAGTGTGGGTCTTAGCAGTTCCTGATAGCTTTCAGGCCACGTGCTATAGCTGTGATCTTGTTCTATATTATTAATCCACTGAAACAAAAAAGGCAGTCACTTAAAAAACACACCCTGAACACTCAGTAAAATATGTGGGCATAAATAATAATATTTTAAAACATGTGGAAAGACTGCAAAGAATAAAATGTCTTCCCTTTTTTTTTTTTTTTTGAAATAGTAACAGAAAGTTGCTTCCAAAATTCATTTTTTTTTTTTTTTTCCAAAACTGTTTTCATTTGCAGTACACATGAAACTATTAATGGACGGAAAAGGAAAAAGGACAATTTGTACTATGCATAAGGATGTGAATAAAACAATTTTCTTCCAGTGTGGAAACTACTTTCACAATACAAACGTCATAACAACACATCACAAAGATCTGTGTAACACAGTATAACTATCTTGTAATCCAAATACAGTATTTATCTATAATTGTGCAGTAACAGTAGTTTGGATATACCAAAATAACCAATCCATATGTGGCCAACTTGTTCTTCTAGTCCTTTCTCTGCAAGCCTTGGTAAGCAGAAGAGTGAAATATGGCTCTTTCAGGTAAAAAAAAAAAAAAATTTTAGTGCCTTTTCCACTGGTATATAACCTTAGTAATGAAACCTGCAAATATTTTGAAGAAGGGTAAAAAGCCCAGTCATTGGACTAGTTAGAAACAAAATATTTATGTGGTCCACAATTCACTTATCATACTTGTAAACTACACTCAGAAATCTTGCATAATAGGAGGATACTACATAGTATTATGTGGCTAGATTAATGGCTCTAAAGTCAAATTCTATTGCTGTAAGTGTGCAACTACTCTCAGATACATTTTTCTTTTCTTTTAAACATCCTACATCCTTAAGTTTAAATAATGTATAAGCTAGAAAAAATGACTCCTAAAATATAGTGAAGGAATATCATCCTCAAAAATATTTTAAACTGCTTACCAATATATGGTCTCAGGACTAGTATTTCAATTAGACTATTGAAAAAGATAAACTACCTCATACATAGAATTATCAATAATGTAATATTTAAAGAAATAATTCCTATATTACTTACCACTATCGAAGAGTGACGAATATCTAGCGCATAACTGTTATCTGTAGGATGTATATGCAACCTCATAAATTTACTCAGGGTCTCTTCTTTGATTCCAAGTTCATGAAGGCCATGCATCACTTTTCCTTCCAGTTTAAGAGTCTCTAAGATACTTTTTCAGGAAGATAAAATACATGTCTACACAGAACTCTTGTCAAGACATAAAAACTATTTTTCATACTAAAAATAATCCTCGTATTAATAGTCTTAGAAATATACACATAGCCACACCTCTAAAGTTTGGCAGAAAACCCAAAGGGACTCTGGACCACCTGTTACAATCTGAAAGTTCAAATCTGGGAAGGAAACAAACCCTGAAGTACTCCACTGTAGAACACAGCTTGCAAGATTTTACAACTGCCTTCATTTCTATCCTACTTCATTTTGAGTATTCTCTATTCTTAAAGGTTTCTTCTAAAATATCATTAGCACTATCACTAGTACTATCGTTAAAAAACACACGATTACAAAAAAAGGTGCAAGTGACTCCATCTCAAAACTCTGGCTGACAAAAAAAATAAGTACAAATTGCAAGCATAAATACTAAGCCCAAGAAAGTTTAAGAATCTTTATGGAAAAGAAAATAAGACATTTTGAGTTAAAAATTGAAAATAAATAATAATAGATTGTGACAAATCAGTAGATTTACTAAAAGTTTGCAGACCACTACAGACAATTTTGAAGTAGTCCTGTTTGTTGTCACTGACAACAGAGAAGAATGCAAGGGAAAATCTTTGTGGTTTGAGTGCTTGCATAAAAAAGGCAAGTCACACCCAAAATAATTATACTATAATTGCACACACTAGAAAAAGACTTGTTATACCAAAAAGCATAAAGTCTTTGCATTAACAGAAGTTATTATAAAAGGCAGTCAGATACAGACTCACAAGCACGCCAAAAGTAACCCAAGGTGTTGGATATCTAAATTTAATGCCTGCAATTTTTTCTTTTTAATTTTTAAGAAATAGGGATATGAAAACATTTAATTTACTGTAAAAAGTGGTTTTTGCACTTTTTTACAGCTACTAATTGGATCCCTTCTGTTTCCAAGTTAATTTTACATGGCAAGCTGTAAAATTTTAAGTGAATTAGAAAAAATATTCCAAGAGAAAATGCTGTTTTCAACTACTTATACAATGTTCACATTCAAAGCAAAACCACTGTAAACCAGTGTTCTCTCTACTGGAGCACGTCCTTGCCCCCAGAATGCAACAGATGAGATTATCAACATGAGCACAACTTCTCCAGTATTATTAGTAATTCTGTAATCTTCAAACAAGATGTATCATCTTACCTAAAAGGATCATGAAAATCCAAGTCAATAGGAAGGCCATTTAGAAATAAATGTGCTTCTCCAGGTTGGATTCCAAGTGTTTCATGCAAATGCTAAAAAGTAAAAGGTACTGCTTACTTATTTAGGTATATGTCAACCATAAACACACATATATAAATACATACAAACACATACATCTATGTATCTATATCACATATCTATAAAAACCCTTAAGAAATACTGTAAAATATATACATCAAATCTCTTCCACACAATTTCTTCTTTTATCTGAGTGTTGGAAAAAATATTGACAACGTACTTTTATGAGTGCTATTTAACACACTTTGAATGTTCAAATACAAATGAAAACAGCTGGTAATTCCTCAAACAACCTACAGTGCCTCTACCTGTACAAGGCAGAGAAGAAGACACATTCTCAGTGTTTGCCAACAGAAAGTGAAAATACACGTACAGAAATATGTCTTGTAAGTTTTTGAAAACTTCCACATATCCATTCAGGAAAGGGAGGACAGACAAAAAAGCTACAACCTCCTCTAATAAAGGGACCTTGGGAAAAATGTAGATTAGAAAGGGATAGCAGAGCATATCTTTGCTTTGCAAAGAAGACAAGAGATCCACAATAAACAAATACAACAGAAGCATTTAGGGAGTAAAGAATATCTTATCATTCTATTTCAGAGAGCTCTGAGGAACTATCCTGTTCAATCTCAGGTGGCTGTAGCAAGATAAGTAACAGGAGCAACAGCAGTAGTGTATCCCAATTCACCCCATAAGGAGAACTCAGATTTCTGGATCTGTCTTAATTCCCAACAAAGGAATGGAAAATTACACAAAAAATTACGCAAAAAAAAAAAGAAAAAAAGAAAGATTACCCATTTAGCTCCCACTTGCTAAATAAATTAAGTGTGAACAAACCATGCACTTTGAAGAAAAGCACTTTTAAGGAAGTAACTCGGGTTGCATATATTACTCCACTTATAAGCCTGTCACTGAATAAATAAGAGAAAAAAATGAGAATACATTAAAAATGGTATTATTTCTTTAAAACAGTGTGGTTATTTTCACACACTCAAATGCAAATAAACTCAAAGCTAACTGGTTTGTGGCACTACAAGTGCAAAGCCACATAAATGAGACAACAGTTTCCCTGAAGCTCCTTGTAATCCAACATGTGTGCATTATTGCTCATCATTCATTGAAAAGGTATCATATTTCTTGGTATATATAAACATTTCCACAACCCAAAGCAGAACGGAAATATGCAATGGTTATGAAAGGCAGGGCTCTCCATGAAGGAAAACTGCACCTGTGATAGGTCTAACACAGAAAGAATGTTTATTAAAGTCCAGTACCTGTCCTTGACCTTGGAAATCAACTTTTGAAATTTGCAAATTTCCTTTATTCTATTGGTATAACCTGAACTTCATAGTGCTTTCGTTGCTTTTTTGTATGCTTATTTACAAAAGTATAATGTAATTACTTACACTTGCTATAAAGTATCTAAATACATATATTCATACTGCGCTATAACGTGAAGAATATTGGGGACTTGGAATCACAGAATGGTTTGGGTTGGAAGGGACCTTAAAAATCACCTAGTTTCAACCCCCTTGCCATGGGCAGGGACACCTTTCACTAGACCAGGCTGCTCAAATCCCCATCCAGCCTGGCCTTGAACACTTCCAGGGGTGGGGCATCCACCACCCCCACATCCTCTCTGGGCAGCTTGTTCCAGTGTCTCACCACCTTCGCAGTGAAGACTTTCTTCCATATATCTAACCTAAATTTCCCCTCTTTCAGTTTGACCCCATTACTCCCTGTCCTGTTGTCACAGATCAGATTCATATCTCACCAGGTAGTTTGACTGATGGGTCAAATAAACCATGTTGTCTCTGTGTGTGTGTGGGGAGGAAGGGCTAAGCCTAGGCCTGCAGTCAACATGGTTGAGAGCAAATCACAGGGAAAACGGTGTCGCTGGGCTGTCAGTCAACAAGGCTGGCCGATGGCACCCACACCACACCCCCTGGAGCCTTTGAGCGGCTGTGGCACCCCTCACTTTGGCTGGGGGGCCAGTGAAGGGCAGTGAGTCAAAGGTCCCACCTAGAGGGAGCAGCCACAATAGCCAGTCTATACAGACACACACGAGGTCTCCATCTCGCCTGCTGTCGTCGAAGCTGGCAAGATGTGACCTTCTTAGTGGTAACTGTATTTCTCTCTCCTCTCTTTATTCTTTCTTCTCTTAATATCTCTTCCTTTACTCTTGTGGGCAACTTAAACACCTATTTTCTGTCTTTCACTTAATTTGGGGGTATTTCACTTAAGTTGTATTGAGTTTGTGCGTGTTGTGTGTAACAAAGGTCCCCTACTCCACAGCAATGCTTGCTAGTCCTAGTAATCTGTTGTAATGCTTTTGTGAGTTGGATTCTTTGTACTTTGGATTACTCCAGCCCGAGTGTTGGACTTTGTATTTGTCTTTGTGAAATCTCATGCAAACACTAAAAAACAAAAACAACTAGAAGTAGTGGTTGGTGTCTGACATTTACATTTTTCCTACAACAGCTTCAATTACGTGCTCTCCCAAGGTCTCACTCTACATAACCCTTCTAAGCAGCCAAAATTCACAAATGCCGGACAATACTAGGCACCCTTCAGCAGATCACACTTTGGATCATTTTACCTACACAGTTCGATCCTGAGACACAACCAACACAGGTAGAAAAGACAAACTGAAACAGGCAGGCATGCAGTCATGAGCCTCCTCTGCACCAGAACGTCCTAGGTATAGCCAGAATTTTCCTGTACTTAAAAAATCCAGTTTGGACTAAGGTTTAATAACAGCATTGTGCTATGAAGTGCTCTGACCACAGAGCAATCCCTCTCAATGCCACTGGACTCAAGCAGTGAACAGTAAATATAAAGATGATTACAGTCTCCAGCAGTCTTACCAGTATCCTTCACGGCTCTTGCACAGATCTTGTGAGATCAGCTCAAACACCCCTCTTACTGAAGCACTAAAATCAGCATCGAGGATATGAGATCTCTAATCACTACTGAAAGTTTACTGTCGTAAGCCCAGACACTTGTGTATACACAGATACTGAGAAAGACTGTAATAGGCTGATGTAGGTCATAAAAACACTAACTGAAATGAATGCAAGAATAATGAAAAAATTATCATTCACTGGGTATTGAAATGGGAGTTAAAAATTTGTCAAATTCTTCAGTACTGCAGTAGGAAAAGATCTGAGTTGAATCACAGAATGTGTCAGGTTGGAAGGGCCCACAGAGGATTGCCTGGTCCAACATCCCTGCTCAAGCAGATTGATCCTAGAGCATGGCATAGGATTGCCTCATGACAGTCCTTGAATATCTCCAGTAACGGAGACTCCACAATTTTTCTGGACAATCTGTTCCAGTGCATGGCCACCCACATAGTAAAGGAAGTTCTTCATCATATTTAGGTGGAACTTCCCAAGCATCAGTTTCCTCTTGTCCTAATGCTTGGCACCACCAAGAAGAGACTGGCTTCATCCTTTTGACACCCTCCCTTCAGATATTTACAGACATTGATAAATCAGAGATGAGACTCATGATACAACCTTGATGCTAGACATTTGATTGTTCAGAAGCGCATCCAATTTGCCATAAAAACATTGATGGATGGAGTATTTAAGCAGCCCATACTAGAATTTAAGGCTGATAATAGTCATATAGTATTTTCTTGCTAAACTGTCAGCAAATTATTGCACTGGAAGTTGTGAGTTGTGTTTAATGAGATTTTATTTTTTTCTTTTCTCTATAGCAGTTCTTCATCTATTTCTTGCTTAGGTATCAATTCATTACACCTAAATCATCACGTCTTTCAACTTACAATACCTTTATTTCCTCCCATTGCATTTCCTATTCAACTTTCATTATCTTGAGAGGGAATCATCCAGTTACACACAGCATGGGATCATATCTCTCCTGCTGCTAGATGGATGTACTGCAGTTCAAGAACTCACATTCCAATTTATTTTACTAAAGCAGTAGTGTTCAGGAAGTTTCCCTACTTTTATTCAACAGATTTTAGTTTTTAGATGTCAAAAGGTCTGTAAGCCTTTAGACTACATGAAGGATGCAGTAGGAAATTTAAACTCAGTGTGATAGGTGCATAAAATCCTCTTAATGTAGTTAGCACAAGCCATGGAATCATATGAGTGATTCAGTTGACCAACCACACAGATATCCAATGTAATTTGCTTCAGGTCAAGATACCTTTGAACTGTAAAATACAGGTGAGGCAGAAGAGAAAGGATGTCCCAGTGGACACATATGCCAGACCTGCATGGCTATTTCGGATAACCTGTAGTATCTCAAATGACATCAGAAATTCAGGCTTAGGCAACTCAGTCGTGCCCCATAAAAGAAACATCAAGCAAGTTAAATTGTATTTGATGTCCATTGACTACATCTTCACTGTCATAACATCTTATATATATATAGTTTTGCCTAAATGCATACTTCATTTCAATCCAATCTTAAGTTATTTTTCCTAATCCTTATACTTAGTAATTACCCCTTTAATTCACGGTAAATCTTTAGTTTTTTTTTTTTGCTTGTTAGGGTGGAGGAGTAGTTTTTGATTAAGCAGTTAGTTTTGATTTTTGTGTTAACAGAGCTTCAATTTAAGAAAGTCATTGTAAAGACTTCATCAAGAAACAAGGAAAGTCCTGGTACCAACACTCATACTCTGGAGGAACTATCATCATCAGAGCTTTGTTTCGCTTTATCCTGTCTACAACCCTAACAATAAAGAGATATACGAAAATGTGTATCTCAAATGTATAAAGAAAGCAATGAAGCAAAGTTCAGATATGGATCTCCTCCCTTGAGCAAAAACTGCAGGACTTCTCACTAGTGCAAGAAACAGGAGGCCTGCAAAATGTTGAGCCCACTCTAAGATCTCTGTGAAAACCCAAGAATCAAACTGGCACTCTGCACACAAGAAAGCTGAAGGGGTCAAGGCGGTGAAATGCTGAAATACATGAAATGTCTTCTCCATATACCAATCCCACATGCAATCACCGAGGGACAGAAAAAGGCCTCCACAATTGTTTGCTTAACTATTTACAAGGATTTAGCACTCGATCCTGTCACTATTTGGGCAGGTAATACTCAAGACACTGGAAAGTCTTACATTAGTTTTGCATAGTGGAGAGCTCTAACACACTTATGTGATATTTTTGCTACAATAAAGATGACAAGTTCTTTATGAGAAGGCTGCACCAGTGCAACAGGCACACTGTTCACTTTCCCTGTTTTGGAAGGTTGGAAGAAACTGGAAAGGCATTCCTCTGGAGATACCAGCCTTGGCAAGGCAACAGAAAAAGACATGAATGGATACAAAGCAATATGATACATAGAAATGTTGCAAAAGTACAGTACTGCCATAAGTAAGAAGTAAGAGAGTGGTTGGTCAGTCTTAACACCATACAAAAATACATGTTCTGAAGACTGGGACAAGGACAGTGCTATGGATGTCATTTCACATGGCCAGTCCTAAAAGCATGGTGGCTAACATTTAACTATAACACTCAACTTGAAAGAAAAAGTCCAGCCTCTGAACACAGAGAATACAAGAGACATCATGACCTCAACAAGCACAACATGGCATCTCAGGGCAAATTTCAGATCAGTCAAAATAACAGGAAAAAGGGCTCCTCATGTGACACAAGGAACAAAAGATGCAGTGACTCAAGGACAAAAATAAAACCACCATCTACCACAGATGATGTCTGAAACACTTTGCAGAATAGCTGCATGTGTGATTCTGAGAGTGTGGATTCTGGAGTGTGGAAAGCTCAAAGCTAGCATGTGCTGACCATAATGTCAGCAGCAGGCCTAGATTCAGCAACAAAGCTCTAGAAAAATTAACTGATACCTATTTTGCTTTCACAGCACACGATTTGTGTCTCAACACCACACTCCATGAAAATTGTTTGGCTTTGCCTAATTCTGTAAAACCAAAAGAGACAGGAAAAAGTTTCATGAACAGTAGAAAGTAAACTATTTGAATCAGGTATTTAAATGGTACCTATCTAGTAACAGATTTTTAGACCAATTAGCTCTTTTTCTCTGATAGGAACCATGTAAAAGTTGCTACACTATTAATAAAAATCTCCAAAAGTAACAATATGATAGTAACTCAAATGTCTACAGGAAGAAATATAAACAAACCTTCTGATTTTCTTCTATTTCATTTCGCATTTCCTTATCTATGGTCACTCTTGTCAGTGATCTGTTAAAATAAAATATTTGCATCACTCAACCACTATATTTTCAAAAAAGCATTAAATAATGTGAAATATGTATTTTAATATAACATCCAATGCATTTTAACAAAACATCTGTAATTGTAAAATGCTGTAATGAACTCTTAAGAAGAAGAGTAATGCAGTGTCATAAATTTTGTATTTTCAAACCAAATATTGTTCTATGCTACTCTAGTAAACCCAAGTTTCTAATTCAGGTTAGGTTTTGTTGAAGTAATATAATCAACATATTTTTTACCACTCTCAATCTTTCCTCTTGTGGTTTTTTGTTTGTTTGTTTGTTTTGGTTTTTTTGTTGTTCGGCTTTTTTTCTTTTTTTTTCTGGAAATAGCATGCATACAAAAAGTAAGCTCCTTGGTCATCTAAATTATCACCTAAATATTTGTATATTTTAAGTTACTGTTACTATCTCCATGCTACTCAACATTACAGCACAGATATCCAAGGATTTGTCTGGACAAAGGCAAGGAAAACATGCAAGGAATGACCACTTAAAATTAGGTGAGACTTAAAGAGATTCACAGATTGAAACCCTTGAAAATGTTAAGCATTCAGAGACAGTCAAAATTTTAATTTCCTTAGTCATTCTACCTCTCAAAGATAATGCATTGATTTGTCTTTTTTACCTCTGAATGTTCTGGAAGACTATTTTATCTTCCTCTGTCACAGTGTACTGTATGTCAGGCTATCCTAAAATACTTCCAGAGGTAAATTAATCTCTCCATATTTTAAGAAAACCTAAACCTGACTGCCCTGATAAATATCGGAATAAATATGCTAGTTGCCTATATAAGCAATTTTTTCAAAAGGGGGTTGTACATGTTCTAGCAAATTGTACGGGGCTTCAAGAAAAACTGGAATCGTCTTAAACCTGAAAGTTAACTAAGCAAAACGAGAATGTTCCTATATGAAGCCAACTTTAACACTTATGGATAATAAAGCGGTTATCTAATAATATAAATCCTCACATCCTCCCCAAAGAAGCTGATTCAGAATAGATCTTGCTAGTATACTCTACATTGCTCACAATATGTGAGAAGTAAGACATAAGAACAGTTTATTTTAAACAACTATTCAAGCTTTCCAGACGATCAAAGAGACTACTTGTTAGGAGCAAACAATATGATTTTCAAGCTTGGTTTTAGAGATATATTAAAACATGCTTTAGAGAAAACAAAACCAGAAGATTTTTATCATGCTGAACTCAAATAGTACGGCCTGTAGCTCTCAGAAGTGATGCTTCATTCTGCGCACACAGTTAATAAAAAAATGCACAGAGAAAAAGGACAACCATTTCCAAATGGCTCCTACTGTGATTAGTTAGGCAGAAAAATAAAACATGAATGTGAAAAAAATAAAAAGCTGGAAAAGGGAATACAAAGCTAGTCGTATGTTAGCAAGGAAGTAAAATACCTATCAGCAAAAGGTAAGCTTTACTGAGCTGTTTCAGTAACAAGAAAGCAACACCCTCGGGAATTATTAAATAGCTTCTTGTCTATGCACGGTAGCTGACAATGCAGGATTCTAGCAGGATTTTACAGAGAGAGTGTGATGGCTAGTCCTCAAAGAAGACACCCTACGAATCTGAGATAACAAGTGTAAGAGCACCTGTGAAAGACATCTGATCATTTTGAGTTCTGTCATTTGTTCGATTTGTTCAGTTTCACAAGGTTGTTATGCATGTTTTTCTACTTCTAGCAAGTAAATGGATACTATTTATCTTTCTACATAACGTAGAAAAGTTGTAATATCACCTTAAAGTTGCCATATTCTCTATCATATAATTTTATGCATCTTTCTTACCTGGACGAATATGTAGCTATATAGTACTGAGTATGGAAGGAAAAAAGGAAACCTTTCACATGGTCATAATGTCAACATTCATGAATGATTAATAAATAGCAAGTAACAGAACACTGTAATACTTCATTATCTGTTCTTTAAGAATGCAATAATATGACACGTATACAACAATACAAAGATGAAAAATACCCTATAAAATGAATTATCAAAATGTCGCCATGACATATATCAGTTGTTACACTGTCTACATCTGATGACATTTTGTAAAATCTACCTCAGACTAACCTTTTCAACTGGAAATACTGAGACACAAAATGCAGGCTGTAAATTAGAAAGTGAAAGAAACTTTCAGAGGAATGATACATTAATTTTTTTAAGGTCTAAGGGACTCCTCTATTTTTAAGGAACACGTATTTAATTTTTATTCTCATAACTACAGTTCTAAAATCTTTATACAGCCTTTTCAAAGCATACTTTGTAAAATTAGAAATGGTTGTTTTCATATATAAATTGTCTGAAACTGAACCAATCTTAAAATACTATTAATATAAGGGTCAAGTATCTATATAAAGTGATTAAGCAATATGTCTTCATTTTCTGTTTAATTCTAGCTTTTGTTTTTCTGAATTAGTATTTTTGACTCATCAGGTTAAGCATGATTACCTTATTAATGAAATCTATTCTGTGCACCATTTTTACGCAATGCCCCTTGGATTTAAGTTTGTTGTCAATGAAAGTCTACTAAATTTAAATTATTTAAATATTTTTAATCTCTCATGTTAAAGATAACCTGCTAAATTACCACGTTAGAATACATGACACAGGACAGAAATTATGATTCCTCTTTTAGTAATTTTAAAGTCTTCTTATACTTTTACCCATAAAATGTTTGAAGAGTAGGTAAATTGTGCTCTCTAATGCCACAAATACATTCCACTTCAACTCCCGTCGAGTAACAATTTAATGATTTTTTAAATCAATGATTTAAATGTCACATAGCACACTTCAAAATGACTTTTTCCTGTCCTTTAAAGAACAGAACTGGCCTTGAAGTTCAACATTATGTACACTTCCACTATCTCCTACTGGAAAGCTGAATTTTTTGATTGATAATCTGAATGTAAACTTGTATCATACTATTTCATAATAATTATGCTTCACGCATTTTAAAAGGCATTTTGCTTCCTTGAAACAAGATGTTACAACGTTAGCTTTTCCATTACAGTGTAGATTTCCTCTAACAGACAATCAGGGGTGACAATGAAACACTGTGATAATTAAACAGGAGTGGTAAAATGTGAAAGCACACTGAGTTAAGAACCCTATTTACCATCACATTTAATTCAGTACTCAAGCAAGTATCACTGATAGGATTACATGAAGAACTTATTAAGTATGAAGAAAGGCATTTCTCAATTATAATAAAATTGGCTTACAGGAAGAACAATTTTTAATATTAGGACAGGCAATATTAAGGTCACATCCATTTATTTAATATTTATCTTGATCTTCTATTAAATAATCTGTTATGGAAGACAGATCTTCCCCTAGTAAGAACGCTAACATACAGTAGCCAGGGCCCAATCTCCACAGCAATGTTGTGCTTAGAACTAATGTGTGTGGATCCCCCCTGAAATTTATCAATACAATGTTGCCTCTTCCTACTGTGACTAGAATCGGCTAATTATTCAACAGAAATTTCAACCTGAGAAAAATATCAATCCAGTAAAATCCGTAAGGACTAGGCATTCAACCATAAGTGCCTGAAGGATTAGCATGTCTTCATGGCATCTCCTGCATTAGACAGGAAACATTTAAGAGATCAATCATGAGCTCTCCCTGGAGTCATCTTCTACTCAGTTAAATTGCCTGGGATCTATCTAGCAAGCTGTCAAACATGAATATCTGGCTGCAAGATTTGGATATAAATCTGTATTACTGTCATTAAATTCAAATGCAAACATAAAAACAGTTTTTGAAAAACAAGTTTAAGTATCATACCTGGCTCTTATTGGGAAGTTCTGAGCAATGTCTTTCATTACCTTTAAAGCATCATAAACAGGGGTAGACATAATTCGAGCAGCTGCTTGAAAACTAAGATCTGGGGTGGGGAGAAATGAAAAAAAAAGATCACTGGAAATATCACTCTCAATCATTACTGCCTACAATCAGAAAACCCTTCTATATACATACTTTCACTATCGATGTATTTTATGTTTCAATCAGTGAGTCAACAAGAAGTAACATTATTAAGGTTGAAAAGAAACTTCATTGAAAAAGAAAATTCCACTTGAAAGTTGGAATATTAAATTCAGGATTTTCTACAGAATTCTACTTAACTTTCTTGAACATACACATTGTACAAGTAACTTCTAAATTTACAGAAACACACTGAAAAACCCCAGACCATTCATCACATAGTATTATGCTGTTCTCACAAGGGTATCACACTCAAACCTAGATACAAACCAACCCACAGAAAACCATAACTGCAGTAAAGAGTAAGATTTTTGCAGCACCAGCACTTAACAAGATTTTCAAAGAACAGATATACTTAACGTAGAAGGTTGCATTCAGCATGTGAATCGTACAGTTTTCAAAAGTAGCAGCAATGTCACAGAAAGAAAATGGAGACTCGAGAAAGAAAGGTCAATCGGTCAAATTTCAGTTCTCCTAAGTGTCCAGCAAAATTTTTAAAGGAATTTCATTTTTCTCTCTATGCTTTTTCTCAGAATGAAGTAAATTTTCAGATATCAGAACAGTTTAAAGTTCATTTGTCTATCCACTAAAAAAAAACAATGACGGAATTCAGTTAGCCGTCCTTGGCATCTAACTTGAGTGTGGCAAATTGTGGCACATATGAATAGGGAAAATCCAATTTTGGTACAAATGAGGTAAGACAATAATATACTAGGTGCTTCCATGTAGCTTGGATACAGTCTGCTTAACTACCTCAGGGCAATGATGCTTCTTCTTCATAATTTCCTAGTTAAGACACTTGAGCAGAAACTGAAAGCCTTGGATTATTCAGTTTGAGGAAAGCTGATGCCACATATTGTAAAAAGTGCTGGGCAGAAAATCATTAAGGATGCTGCCTACTAAGACTTTGCACCAACTTTTCAAAGTAACTATGAATTTAAAAAAAAAAAAAAAGAAGGCTGAAGGAAAATAAATAACATACACTCTTAGTTTAGCCTGAGAAAGTATACCTTGGCTGCAAAGAAAGGGGAGAGGTAGAATGTTAACTTGGTATTTCTTAGTATTTTAAAAAAAAAGGTATAAAAAGAGATTGCTCTTTTAAAAAGTACGTTTCAGATCCCTTTCAACAGGCACATAACTTGTGATCAGGTGAAACAACACCCAATTGCTGCTATTACTACAGACAGTGATGTCTTACCTGCTGTGAACTTAAGAGTACATGCTTAAAATCCTTCATAAATTGTTAGTAAATTCCATTTTATGCTGAACAGCTAGAGTATGACTATTCAAACTGAGGTCAACTGACATCTTTTTACATTCTTGGTTATCTCTGGTCGGGGCTGTCACTTACAGACTTACCCTTGCAGCACCTTGATACAGCTGAGAGCGAAGTGTAAGGCACCTTGGGGAAAATGTACTTACTAATTACTTATCTAAAATATAAAAGCTCTTGAAGACAACTCTTGAATGGTGTTTAGGTTCATTTATAAATAGAAGTATGCCCTATAGCTGAAGTAGTTTTGCTTAAATTTAGTTAGATTTTTACTTGGAAGCTAATTAAAGGAAATCAGAGAGAAGCTGAGCCATTAATTCAGCCAGTATAATTAGTCATTAAGAATGAACTAAAGAAAGCACCCTGTCATGTCAACAGTAAGAGTATCAAAACAAGTGCACCATAAAAATTGGGGACTGTAGACCCCCTGTCTAAGAAGATCCTGAATCACAAGCCACTACCAGTCTTCCTGACACTAAACAAACAGCATGGCAAAGGTTAACTACTTTCAACACTAAGAACTGGTTGCTTGGGGGTCAGCACCAATTTCATGTTTTATTTATACAGCCATGACACCACAGAAAGGACCACCACTAAATAAAGACCTTGTGCTGGCTTTTGAATGTGTACCTTAAAGGGAACAAGTTTCACAGCTGCTTCTGCTTTAAGATCAACTGAGTGTTATTCAATAACGTAAAAAACCTTAAATAGTCAAAAAGAGTAGTTTCTTTTTACTTGCAAAATAGGTTTCACAGGAGAACTTAAAAGCAGTGTTTTTCAATTGTTTTTCATTTCAGACAAAGATAAATCGAGCAGTTGAAGTTCACCCACAGAAGACTGCAAGTGAACTACAATTATCACAAATAGCTAATATCAGACTGGATACTGCTAGCAAGCTCCATAACACCAGGGACCAAAAAAGAAACTGAAGCTCAGATGATTGCTCAGCCTCCTTCATTGCAATAGTATGAAGGCAAATCATTTTTGATCAGGTTGCCCTCTGAAATTCAAGAATGTAACAGGAAAAATTTTGTTGCCTAAACTGAAGTGTTATGACATGTTAGGGACCTCTTTTAGAGTGGTTTATACAGAATGTCCTGCAGGTCATCAACAGATTTGTTCTCCTTTTCTTCAGGAAAGCTTTTAAAAGCATGTTCTTCCATTTGACGTTATATTAAAAAATGTATCAATGTGAACTCCAGTACACTGATAAAAGTTAGAATTTATTAATTAAACTGTCTTTAACATGTATTTCATCCTGACACAAGAGTCGTACCTTTTGCCTGACCTCTACAAAAAAATCTGAAACTAAATTTAATACCCAAGATGACACATCTTGGGAAAAAAAACAGGCAATATAACTCTCTATCTTATAAAATTACTTCAATGTTCCTTTATTTTCTAGCATAGAAAATGCCAACACATGCCTTTTAAATATTTAATGTAATACAGCCTTTTTATGAAACTGTGTCTCTTTTTAAAAGATGCTTTTATTGTAATGTTGATACATCAACATAACAAAGGAAAATTAAATAGAGTATTGTGTTAGTTCAAGAAAAAAATGCAATACATACCCTGTAGCTCCCAAACCTTCAGCGGTTCCATGTTGTTAGCAGTTTCAATTAGATGTTTTTTAAACTCTTTCAGGTTATTTTTCAGATCAGGATATATCTGTCTACAATAAAACATTTTCCTTTTAACAAAGGCAGAATCAGTTACATCAATCAATGTCTGTTTTTATCCACAGTACTGCTCACAGCTAATACTGTATCTTCAGGGTAACAGGCAAGAATGAAAACTTTAACTCATTCTTAAAAAAAAATAAAAAAAATAAAAGATTTGTGGTAAGAGAAGCTGATTACTGAGGAGTAAAAATCAGTTAATTAGAGTCTTAGAGTAGAATCATTTAGGTTGGAACAGACCTCTAAGATCATCAGAGCATCAAGTCTGACCACTAACTCTGCCCTGCGAAGTCCACAATTAAACCGTGTTCCTCAGTGCCACATCTACCCAGGGACGGAGACTCAACCACTTCTCCAGGCAGCTCTTCCCAATGCCTAACAACCCCCTCTGTGAGGAAATTGTTACTAAACACAAGGAGTTCAATTGTTTTGCAGTGATCTGCCTCAAAACCTGCCACATAAATTGATGGAATAAATGAACTAAAAGGTTAAACAGTATTAACACACAATACAGGTAACTGTGTAGTTAGTTTATTATACCTTAATGTATACCTAACTGTATATTAACTGTACTACAGATTGACTGTAACTGTCTGCAGAGTTTGTGGCATTACTTAGAAAAGATAAAGGCAAGACAATGTTGAGAACATCTTTTATAAATCAACACTGCTGACAAAATCAAGCTACTGAGCACACAATCACTAGTCTGACTTGAAGAAGAGCATGGTACCCAAAAGCTTAGCTATTTATTTTGAAAAGATAATAGGGTAGGGTAAAGAAGTTTTGAGGGTAAACACTTCAGCCTGCTACAAGATATCCTTGAACAATCTCCATTAGATTTCTAAAGATTTTATGTCTTCTGCTTCCATTCATAACTATTTCACAGCTGAGAAAACTATAACTTTTGGCATGGGTATAACTGAGGGACAATTTACAGACTAAAATATCTATTTCACCTCCTGTATGAAACGGACAAGAAAAAAAAATAGTCTCGAGACTGTCAAAAAGTCTGAAGAATTATCTGACAGCTTCACAAGCCAATCACAGTGCAACATTAAAAACTAAGTATAGCTAAACCTATCAGAACCCAAGAAGAAAAAAGCTCAGATAAAGATATGACATAAGCATTTGGTATGACCTGCTGTGGAAGGTCTGTAATATACAGGTGAAACAACAAGGAAGCCTCCAGATCTAGGTGCACTTCTAACTCAATCTGTTTACTTTAAAAAAGGCAGGAAAGGGGATAGGCTCTCAAGAATTTAGACAGAATTAGAAGCTCTGAACTCTGAGACTCACAGCTTAGAATTAATTACAAACAAGTTCACTTTTTTCTTTCAGTGGTAGGAGACTGAATGACACTAGAGAAGACCCACAGTCTTGATGTTTTTACTGAATTAAAAACGATTTATGATTCCCTGCGTGGATCTGTTACAGCAAAAGGGAAGAACTGGATGACTGAAACCATGAAATGTATCTGCAACTGAGGACTGGAAGGAGCCCTCAATAGGGTAACATTCAATTTCATCTAACAGATTTCAGCTTGGAGATAGAGTTCCTGCTGGAACAGAACACAAATTCACAAACTCCAAAATAAGATATCTATAATAAGCACATCTTCCAAGAAATATCACTCCTATGAAATTAACTACTGTCCTTCTTAAAAAGACTGTATATGTAGCTACAGCACATGCATTTGTGTTTATTGCGCTACTACTTGCATTTTGAAAACTTGCATTTTGATTTTAAGTATATTACAAATATGAAAACACAGTGTTCTAAGTTTTTTTGACTGCTATCCAGAAAGGTGCTTTTTTTTTTTTTACTTTAAAAAGTTACTATATAGGTTTGAAAAGAATGAGAAAACTACAAGGAATAAATTGGAATTAACAGAATAAATGCAGACATTTAGTTAAAACTTGTATCAACTCACTTTAATTTGCCAAAGAGAAATCCTTGGACATCACTTTCCTCTTCCTCTTCCTCATCTTCCTCTTCTTTCGTCTCATTTGCTCCTGAACACATAGCACATGTAGATAATATAAGCCAAGAAAGTTACTGGTGTGTTATGTTCTTACGAATTATAAAACAGTTAACAGAAACACACAACCAGGAAGTTGTCATTCCCAGACATAATCTTAGATTTATACTTATACATTTTTGGCATCAGAATTAATTACTTTACAGAACTTCACAACATCCAAATTAATTTTTAAATATGATTCATACAATGTAACATTTTTATATAAATGAAATTGACATAGTTAACAGTTCACTTCCCAAAACAACTATTTCTCAGTTTTATTAAGTGTTAAGATATAACTCTCATCAGCCAACTACTATCAAATCTATGCTTGAAAAGCCTGATGACTTTCAAGCACATGAATCTCCAGCTAGAATTTGATGTAAGTCAGAGATCAGTTTCTTTATCTTTAAAAAGTTTAACTATTTTTTGACATGACTCAAAGGTTTTTAAACCTCAGTCTTACCAAAGAGAGTTAACTTCCCTTATATCTTGTAAATGTCCATGCACAGTAATTTCTCTGAGTCAACATGCTATAGCTACCACTTCCTCTGGTAAATGCCTCATTTCAACACATTGTAATATCCACTGCTCCCAATTCTATGACACATCACATCTTTCCTACATAAGACTGTGAAAATATTTTCACATAATTTCAGAAAAAAACCCTCACCCCTGAAACATTAATGGGTGGATACTGCAATCACGAGCATATGAGAGATGCCAACAAATATAAAGTAATTGAAGGAGAAAGATCAAATAATTTTAAACTTACTGAAAGAAGACTGGGTTATGTTTTGAAGATCCAGAGAAAACAACAATTAGAGGTTAGATAATAAACTGTATCCTAAGCACAGATCTTTACCAATGTTCTCATGTATTTTGATGTCTTAGTTCCTAACACCTGAGATTTCCTTCTGTAGAAAGAAATTAAGTATAACCCTCAAAACAATAATGACTGAAGACTGTACAAACTGAAGATTCTAACACATTAGAATCGTATGTCCAATGAGATATCCATAAATTAAAAAAGCACGTACCTTTAACCTGCGTGTCATCTACTGCTTTATATTCTGTACTCTTTATTGCAAGTTCCACACTATATCCAGATAAATACATCTTCCTGGAAACTGGTTTCTGCTTGACGATATTATTATTTTAACATATGAAAAAATATAACTTCAAAAAGGTATTCATAGGAGATTAACAATATATAATACTGTAACTTTAAAATTTTATGACAGACATTACTTAAATTCATCTTTCAGTTCAAAGTACAAGGCATACTGACAGTCTACTGAGAAGGCCTGTGACAGAATGTGACAATCTCCTTCACCTCCTGCAGATGACAGAAAGGCTGTGTCTAAATTGTAGTCCCTTCACATAATACTGAAGAAGGACTAGAACAGACAGAGCTCACAGCACCGTACACAATTATCAACACCTCACAATTCACATTTTAATCTGTTATTCATTTCCTTCTAATGCTACCAGACCTTCAGCACATTAGGAAGAAATTCTCTATTTTTGCATCAGACTGATTCTTTTAAAAAGTTCTGAGAAAACAGTTAATCACTTTCAGCAAGGCGGATTAAGAAAACATATTAGAGTATCACTGCTAAAATCAAGTTGCCACTTTGTTAGAAACAAACAAGTACTTCTAACTTGGAAGTTTGAAATTCAATATTGTGATTACACAGAGAATACTTATATCTGAAAATGTGCCCTAATTTGCCCCAACTGGAAATTTCCTTTCCAAAATGCAATTTGCACATGCACAGCAGCAATTTCTTGAAAGCCTTTCAGCTTTATCTTGCAGTTTCTAAGAATCATTCTGTACTGAGAGTCCTCCAACCCACAAGTGAAAACCCAGCAGGGCTAGAGGTTTTCTCTGTCCATCCTCTAAGTAAATTTCAGTGCAGAAAGAGCACTGCACTCTATAGTCTAGGTGATACTGGTAAAAAAAAAAGACAGCAGAAAGACCGTACCTCTTCTGTACTCAATGCTCCCTCTTCTGGCATTAAATGTAAAAAAGGAGGGAGAATCCGCCTCAGTGGGAACCAAAGAATAAAAATGGAGGTTGTGAGGAAGAAAGAAAAGGGAACAGAGGTCTGAAGGGAGAAAAGTGCAGGCAGGAAGACAACACATGTTTCGGGGGGACCGTGATGCATAAGCCAGGCAGAGCAATGAGACATTTAATATGCAAGTAGGCATTTAATTGAAATAAAAGAGAAAAAAAGAACATAAAGTTCAGTAAAAACTATAACCCATACAACTTAGAATTCAAGACTGGTATCCTCAAATTCTCTATTCTATTACTATGAGCAAACAATTCAAAGTCATCTGCAAACTACACATCTCATCTCCCTGAAATGTCTGGTCTACATGGATCACAGCAAGCTCTCACTTCATCAGATTATTCCCATATTTGTCACACTATTCAAGAGCTGTACTTTGAATATCAATTACAAAAGCCTTCCAATAACCAAAACTGGGGACAATACAGTTCCATGTACTGGTATTTTTTCTTGCTTTGTTTCAGGGAGAAGAGTAAGTGAAAGGAAAACATTCAGAAACATTGTGTTTCAAATACTGATACTGTGGAATGCAAACATCCAAAAACTGGTCAATGACACTGACCGTGATAGCCCTCTCTGCTGTATTACAATGAACATATGAGATTATATTGAGAATTTATAAAAACATAAGTATAATTAATAATGTTTCAACTTGATTTTCTATTCTGCTTTCCATTTTCCTAGTTCTTGTTATTATCATGTTCAGTCTGCAGTACCAAAATTCACCCAAGATCTTTCTATGGTGTATGAAATCCAGACATATAACCAAAAAAGAGGTATTTCAAGATCAATCAGTGATGCAGATAGTGCTTGCATGCAAGATTAGATAATATTATCGTCCTTTCCCAGGTTCAAAGTTTGTATGAGGCAAATCACTTCACCTAGACAGTTTTAAAATTAGAGCACAGATTGCACATGATTTAGGTAAATGCAAAAATAAATGCAGAAAATGTGTTTTGTCAAAAAGCAAGCAAAACAAAGACAGAATACTAACAGTTTAGTGAAACACTGCTGATTTGAATCGCATACCTGAACATAATGCCGGAGAACATAAACGATTTCCTCCTTTTGTGCCTTCTCAGATAAAATCTTGTGGAATTTGACAAAGTCTTTTGTACCCATTTCTGCATACAGAACAACCACCGGGCCATCCTCTTTGAAAGTTGGGAATTTATGGTCTCCTTTAAAAAGATATGGCCTGGGTCTGGTTTTAAAACAAATAAATTTGATATAATATAGTCATAAAATAAAACAGTGGCCATTTTTCTACTTCATAATTGAAAAAACTAGTGAAGGCTTATATGCTAAAAGTATACAAGCCATGTTAAAATCATCACAAAATAATCATGATTGCTCACAGATGAACCTAGAACACCAAACTCAGAAATTAAAGTATAATAAACTGAAAAACCAGCATCAACTATAAATAATTTTAATGCATTTCATCAAATTACAACGCAAAGCAAATGAAAAGCAAGCATAGCACTTGGGAGATTTTGTGCAACAATCAGTAACAGCTTGAAGTTTTTAATTTGAATGATTCATTACATCTATTAGAGGTGTACAGAGCAATCAGTGAGTAACAGAGTAGCAGAGGGATATTCTGTGACATTTGAGAAAGCTGCTAACACCCATGGAAACTAACTGAGGTTATACTACTTTAACACCATCCAGCTCTCTTAATTTAGCTAATTTTGCAAATTTTGACTGCCTGCCTACCCTCCTCACTGAAAACCATGACTAGAAAAGTTATGCTGCAATGGTTTCTTAGATGACTAAAAACATCTTTTGAATAAAACCTCGGAAAGATGAAGAAGTAACAGAAGGTATCACTGAGCAATATACTCAAGGTGGTAATTATAGATGAGCACGTTTCTTATCAAAGCCTTTGCACAGCCACATTTGAAAGTTATGAAACTCTAATCCAAAACACAATAAATGTGTGTAGTAGACACTCACTGAAGAGTCACACTAGACAGGTGTGAGTAGAACTCCACACACACCAGTTTCTATGATGCAAAGCTTAGGAATATCTTCAATGTAAGAATCACAGAATAACATAAACTACAAAGGACCTTTGGAGGTAATCTGCTGCAAACAAACCCTCACTCAAAGCAGGGACAATTTGTATCCGATTACTCAAGGCTTTAACATGAACATCCTATGTAAATTTGGTAGGTATGCAACCACAGACCTCATTTGTAAGACAGAAATAAAAGAGGAGGGGCCTAGTTTGAGAATTAATTTTGGTGTGTGTGGCCATGTGTCACAGAAATATCAGGCAAGCTTTGCCACTGCTATCACTGGACGAGGGTGACCAAGCAGGGGTCACCTGGGAGTCTGAAACAACTCCTGAATGAGTAAGCTCCCTTCAAGAACTGACCCAGATCTGCCCCAAGTGAAAGCATTACATATGGGATGTGGCTTGTGCAACTTCCTTCCCATATCCAACACGACCAGAACTCTCACAGTCACTTGTAAGAGTGGAAAACCTAAATCAAGGGAGCTTCACTTTTCTTAACTAGCCTTAACCACCTTAACTCAGGTGGTTACCAAGTGCTGCCATGACCTTCTTGAACACTGACAGACTCAAAGGAAGCATTTCATATGCTAATGAACATGTTTCACTAAAAAATTAAGTGCTGCAGTGAAATAACACTGCATAGAGCTACCCTAATGACCTTGGTTAGGAGAATTGAAGTGTTCAGCCCTTGTAAATCCAAGATAAGCCTCTGTTCTCTGTTTCTCTTCAACACTGAATAGTAGTGAGAAGGAATTGATTCTCTTGTTCTTAGAGCTGAAAGCTAATTAATTTCCTGCCATAAGAGATTCTCATAAGAAGGCTGCCTGAAAGGCAAGGAAGAACAGTTGGGCTCACAAAAAAATAGATTAAAAAAGTTACATGGATGTGGAGTTCGGCACTTGCTAATCAGTCACTAGGATAGTAAAGCCTTGTATATGCTTGCCTAGACAGTTGCCAGGACAGGATGCAGAAGGAACATGATAAGAGACAACAGACACATTTACTGACAAACCTAGGCACTAACTGTTTTGAACAAAATGTGACTGCAATTAATGCTGCTTCTCTTAGCAGCAACATCCCCAGAGGTCTTAGTATTGTGTTTTAGACAGTTAGCAAGATATGCACTCCCAAGCATTTAACCACATGTCCTTTGACAGAGCCCTTGAGCAGCCCACTGCCCCTCCACACAAAATATTCCCTATTAGAGCCAAGTAGTCCATTGCAACACAGCTGAAAGTACAACAGGCAAAATCACAGTAGCTGCTGCATAAAGGACTGCATGAAGCAAAACCCTGACTTTGACAGGCAGAATATTTGGGCTCTCCTGGGTCCAAAGAGCCTGAGACTTCCCGAATCTTGGGTTGAGCTGACAGATCCACACAAAACTATGCTGCAGCCTCTTCTTTCTCTTCCAGAGAGATTTGAAGCTATCAATCCAATATATAATTGGATATTGATATATCAATATCAAATTAGAACATTTCTAGTGTCCTCATCCAATGCGAACTTTAGGACACAACTGAAAGCATAATTTAAACTGGCCTGGCTTAAGTTGAACAGTCACGACAGACAGAGGACAGAAAATGAAACACAACAGAAAATAGCTTGAAATAAAAAGAAATCAATAAAACATAATGATCTCTTTTCATAAAGGATAGATAAAAAGAATGACTTGTTCAGAGAAACCAACAGCAAGATGGCACACTGTCCCATTTATCATTTGTTCACCATATAGAAAAGAAAGAACAGGAGCACAGCCTTATCTCTATCACCTAGGCTAAACATGTCTTGCACAAGTGAAAAGCATCTACTAGGAACAGTACAAATGGAAATAACAGTGGAAACTATTACCTGAACATGTGAAGGTGAACGTGTTTTTTCAAAGTCTAGCTCCAGGAACTCTAAATATTTGAGTGACACAACTACTTTTGGGATGGAGAGGAGATGAAATTCATCAAGATTTTGTCCCTGCAGCTCTAAAGGTTGTAATGTGACTGTAATGCATGCAAAACTACCAAAAGTGCAAGACCAACCTAACAGAAAAAACTTCATTTGTTGCACGTTCTTAAAGTAAATGATTTCTAGAAGTCTAACTCTCTCACTTCTCAATAATTCAGGATTGTATTGTTTAGTATTATAATTTTCCAGAATCTTGTAAATTTGGTAATAGTATCTCCATTCTGGAGAATATGCTGAATTCAGTTAACTGCTTTAAAAGATTACTACATTCAAACACTGTAATAAAATGTTAAGATCTTACAATGCTTTAATGTATGACCACATTTGTACTATATTTTGGCTTTTATCTAACAAAGTAAGAGACATTTGTTAGTAGACCATAATAGTTAAAAATGAGACACTGTAAAATAGACAATGAATTGTTTTTGCAAAAATCTTGGCTATTGAATAAGTAAAAGACTATGATTTAGCAGGTTGTAATTGAATCAATAGACTTAGAATACACTATAAATCACATATAGGGAAGACAAAATTGTTCTCAGAAGCAACTAACCCCAAAGAGACAAGTTTATAGGTTTTCAGGTTTTTCCCTCACAATTTGTATTTTACAAAAAGCAAAATGCAAGAAATGTACTCTACTAAATCATCTTTCAGCTCTGCATATCTCTGTGAACTGGTAGAGGGTATGGGTACTAATGCATATTATGGTGACCTTGGCCACTGTAGGAAAAAAAACCCTCCAAGAAATAAATGTTACACACAGGTCTTGAAAAAACACAAATTAATACCTTTTCTTTTTTAAATAGAGATTGAGAATTATGCTTTCATTATTTTGTTACTGTTTTGATAGGTTCTGCATATTTTAGTTCACAGCCCAAATTAATTTTGGATTAATTAATTAATTAATTACCACAGGACAAAGACTGCAGAAAGGCTTGACAAGTGCAAAGTCTAGCACAAGGTGGGGAAAGGTTATGTCAGCTGAGGTAGACTTCTCTTCCACTTGTGTGCCAAGCCCTTGCAATCTAGAAAACCTCAAGTGCAGTGGTACTGACTATGTAGAAAGGTCTGTCAGCAGAGTACTGTCTCAGACACATGAAACTGTAAGTTTGCACAACAAGTACACAGTAAGTTAAACTTGACTATCCCATATTGAAAAAAAAAAAACCAAAAAAATAAAAAAAAAACACAAAACCCCCCCCAAGAAATACAAAATTATCCATGTGATTAGAGAGCAAAGCTCCATGATTTTATTTTAAAACTCTACTTCAATTCATAATTGATGAATTCTCTTAACATAAAGTGTATAAAGTATTTCAAAACCAAAAGTAAGTCTTTTAAAATAACATATACTTTAAAAGGGTATCTCTTTAAAGATCCAGTAAACTGGGCTTTATGGGCTTGGCATTACCAAGGAAGAAAAACACAAAATTTCAAAGTACTACAGCTTTACATGCAATAATACATTTTCCTCTTTAGTAATCTATTTTTCCTCTTAAAGCAAATCATTACATTTACCTCTTAGTAGCCTTCTTCAGTAGCTTTTTTATTTCATTAGTCTTACAGGTGTGCTTCTCGTGGATAACCACAAATGCACGGCAGCCTTCTGGTGGAGGTTCATCAGCTGCAATCTAATATTTCAACAATTACACTCAACCAGAATGCTTTGATTGCACTTCAACTTAAACTCACATCCCCCTTTGATTAAAATAACTCAGCAGCTGCCATTAAGTTGTGTTTCCAATTAAGCCCATTCAAAATTGGGTATATGTAAAAAAAATGAGGAAAATATTAGAAGATTAAGACCTTATAACCTTTGTGAGATGTAGTCTATCAAATAGAGTCATACTGCAGAAAATACAAGTCCATTTATGTTCTGTAAAGACAGAGTTGAGAAA